CAATGCATCCATGTGGGTGATATTGCAGGTATTGATCCGCTTTGAACTATTAAACAACAATACATAGATTCAAGGACAAGACGGCCAAACGGACACGATCAAACGGCCAAACGGCCGGTGATCGTCGGACCTCCTGTTGCTTGATGACGATGGACAGCTGCTGTGTGTTGTCCTTGACAAACAAAACCTTTACCCAAAGAAAGAAAATGAAAGAAACAATGGCCTCCAACCTAGCGGTGGCCTCCAACCTACACGTATGGCCTCCAACCTACAAGCAATGGCCTCCAACCTAATGCCTCTTTCTTCAAGACATGCGAAACTGGAAGGAAGTCCCCTCGCACTGCATGTATGAAAGGAAATGGGAATCCCTGACAGAACCCTCTTGCCAGTCCAAAAGTACATGCAACAACTACAACCACGAGCAAGCCCGTTACATTCAAATCACGTTCCTCTTTTGTTTACAGTAGTAGTATTTCATGATCTCCACAAGTTGTTAACATTCTGCCTCCTTAAATCACACTGCCGCCATCGACGTTGTCGCCGGTCGCTCTCTCACTACTAGGTGGTAAATGTCCTGGTTGCTTCTATTCAGATGGGGCCAGGCCAAACACATCGCTTGGGATTCGCACCAAAAGAGTGTTGCAGCAATTCCCCAATTCGCCGTCACCCATCCCAAAAGGGCCTGACAAATGGGTAGATAACGAACAACTAGATTCTTCTGATTTCTTCTGGAATATCTTCATTCTGGGCCCTCAAACACAAAACCACCGCCTGCTGCCTGCCAACACCCACTTGACCACTTCCATCCCATGTCCTCTGGATCGTAATTGAGCTGAAACTTCTCGCGCAACACCATTGAAGTGGTGCACCCATCATGAGGTCGCGAGTGTTGTGGCTGCGCGATCGCGCCCGTCGCCGTTTACGCGCGCCGTGCGGCGAACGAAGCTCCGATCGGCTCCGTGGGGTGCGTCCGATCGGCTCCGGGGTGTTCTGGGACTGGCACCAAAAGGATGGTGTTTTCTCCATGTGGAGATTCACAGTACACATTATAGTTCGGTGGTGTGGCAAGATCTGATCAAGGTATGACCGGGATGTATATATATATATATATATGGGCGCCGTCACGGGTGGTTTTTGCATGTTCACCCCAAATCAGATGTCTTTTTGGGAAGCCAAGAAACTTTGACGATCTGGGACCAAGGTTGGAGTGTGTGCTGCTGGCCTCATCCCTCTGTGACATGTGCAGTATCATAGCCTAGTCAGAACGCCAACAAAGGATGTGTTTCTGTGAGGTGTGATCATGAAACTGCTTGGAAGGGACAATGCTAGGGCAAATCAATATTGCCATGCACTAAACAAATATATAGAGATATATCAATCCAAACCTATTGGCCTACAGGGTCAAACAGCAACAACAAACAAAGCTTCCTTCTCAATCAATGCAAATACACGAGGAAGATCGAGGAAGCCTCAAGCTTAAGCTCATCAGAACCCAAATCAGAAACAACAGTGACACAACTGTTTGACTGGAGTAGCTGAAGCTCGAACATCACGTCTCGTCTAAGTCGGTGACTTGCTTCATCCCTAAGCTGAAGCTCGATTCTCGAATGTGTATAAGCGATTTGGCTTTGGCCTGTTAATAGGGGGTGACACCCCTTCATGTGGTCACAAATTCCACCGTCCATCCATGCCTGTCCACATTTACCGCACCCGGACCGCGCCTCGTTAAAGCCCAGGAGCATACGGACAAAGAGAGTGCGCGAAGAGAAGCCAGCAGGAAGATCTGAAAGTGTCAGCGGTGAGACCGTCTCAACTGAACAACAATGTTGCTACCATACAATGCCTTTCAAAAGAAACGTCCTTCTCACTTGAATCAGGTGCTTCTGGATGTGTCATTGTTTTGTGTTTTCTGTGTCAATCTACACATCAATCTACACTCCACAAAGAGGGCTGTGGCTCCGCGCAAACTGCCAAGCTCCACTCTCATGGATCCTAACATATCCTATGTTGCACCTCCACATCTTTCCAGAATTTCCTCATTTTTGCCAAATGTAAGCATTTGTCCACACCCAAACATGTGCATATCCACCCCTCCAAAATCAGACCGGTAAGGAACGTGACATGAAAACAGCGTAGAGTAACGCACTTCCGGAACTGCTGGGCTCACGGTGCGGAGGCTCACGGTGCCACCGCATGTTGTACTGAGTTTGGGGCCCTCCACTTTCCAGAGCGTCACCTCGACAGGCACAAGGACGCTTCACCCATGTGACACTCAAAACCAGAATCGAGTGATGCTGGTTCCGGTCGCGGTATTGTCAGCTTGGCGAGCTTCGCCGGCCAGTTTCCGGCCACGTTTTCCAGAATGGGAAGTTTGCCTATTCGCCCAATCTCGGCCAAGTCTGCCTATTCTCTCCTGGCCGCCCTCGGAAGCAACACATGCACGTCTCTGCACTGATTAAATATTGTTGTGTCTGGGGGGCGGGTTTGTCTTGGAAAGCCTTTTGTAAATCACTATATTGGGCCAGGATTGGATTTAGCATTGCGTGAACTACAAGAGCTCTTGTTTGCTTGTCAACAACGTGAGGAGGCAAACAACATAACTTGAAACACAAGAGTGGATCTTTTTAGGTTCCATCATGCGAGCTACTCCAGTACCCTTTAACCTACTCTTCCCACATAGATTGAACTTGGCTAGCAATTGGCTCTATGTTCAATGGCACTTCTTAACTGCCTTTTGAACACAACAAATGCACATCTGCGCCCTCCTGGAGCCAGAATCTCCCAACACAAAAAAAAACATAGAACACCTACGTTTTACATAGTTATATATAAACTGACATACTGAGAGTGCAGCTGAACTCGAACCCAAACGTTGTGCAGCGCCACAGAACTCTGCTTCTTCAGCACACGAACCCCGAAGGCGCCCGGCACCCGGCCGCCTCGATGGTGGAGAAACGACTCATCTGAAAGAAGGTCAGCACGTCCTGCGGGTCCACGGCGTCGGTTCTCCATTGGCGGGATGGGTGGACGGGAGGTTTCTCCCGTCCACCCGTCCACTGGGGTGAAGCAATCAACCAATCAGATCATCAACAAGTCCTTGGGTGAAGAAAAGGAAGGCATGACAAGGAAGGCATGTGTGGATTCCCGTGCGGGAAACAAGTGGGTCCTTTTTGGGAACGTTCTGTTTGGTGGGTTTTTGCATGGGTGATTGGTGTCCAGTTGTGCCCCAGCAAATATACCGCCCCATATTGTCTGTGGTGATAGTAGAAACAAGGACGCTCGCTATTAGGTTGGAGGCCATCGCTACTAGGAGCAAGAAGCTACTAGTAGCGACGACACTATTAGGTGCAGGCAATCGCTATAGAATCGGTTGGAGGCCATCGCTACTAGGAGCAAGAAGCTACTAGTAACTGTTACTAGTAGCAAGGACGCTATTAGGTGCAGGCCATCGCTATTAGGTTGTAGGCCATCGGTACTAGGAGCCAGAAGCTACTAGTAGCAAGGACACTATTAGGTGCAGGCTATTGCTATTAGGTTGGAGGCCATCCCTACTAGGAGCAAGAAGCTACTGGTAGCAAGGACGCTATTAGGTGCAGGTCATCGCTATGAGGTTGGAGGCCATCGCTACTAGGAGCAAGAAGCTACTTGGAGCAAGGACGCTATTAGGTGCAGGCCATCGCTATTAATTAGGTTGGAGGCCATCGCTACTAGGAGCAAGAAGCTACTACTAGCAAGGACGCTATTAGGTGCAGGCCATCGCTATTAGGTTGTAGGCCATCGCTACTAGGAGCCAGCTACTATAGCAGCAAGGACGCTATTAGGTGCAGGCCATCGCTGTTAGGTCGGAGGCTGGAGGCCATCGCTACTAGGAGCAAGAAGCTACTAGTAGCATGGACGCTATTAGGTGCAGGTCATCGCTATTAGGTTGGAGGCCATCGCTACTGGGAGCAAGAAGCTACTTGTAGCAAGGACGCTATTAGGAGCAGGCCATCGCTGTTAGGTTGGAGGCCAACGCTACTAGGAGCAAGAAGCTACTAGTAGCAAAGACGCTATTAGGTGCAGGCCACCGCTATTAGGTTGGAGGCCATCGCTAGCAAGGACGCTATTAGGTGCAGGCCATCGCTATTAGGTTGGAGGCCATCGCTGCTAGGAGCAAGAAGCTAGTAGGAGCAAGAAGCTACTAGTAGCAAGGACGCTATTTGGTGCAGGCCATCGCTGTTAGGTTAGAGGCTGGAGGCCATCGCTACTAGGAGCAACAAGCTACTAGTAGCAAGGACACTATTAGGTGCAGGCCATCGGTATTAGGTTGGATGCCATCGCTACTAGGAGCAAAAAGCTACTAGTAGCAAGGACGCTATCAGTGCAGGCCATCGCTTTTAGGTTGGAGGCCATCGCTATTAGGAGCAAGAAGCTACTAGTAGCAAGGACGCTATTAGGTGCAGGCCATGGCTATTAGGTTGGAGGCCATCGCTACTAGGAGCTAGAAGCTACTAGTAGCAAGGACGCTGTTAGGTGCAGGCGATCGCTATTAGGTTGGAGGCCATCGCTACCAGCAAGCAGCTACTAGTAGCAAGGACTCTATTAGGTGCAGGCCATCGCTATTAGGTTGGAGGCCATCGCTACTAGGAGCAAGAAGCTACTTGTAGCAAGAAGCTTCTAGGTGGAGGCCATCGCTAATGTTGACAAACGATTATGCAACCTCCCCGTATTAATCAAGCCCCCAACACCCCCAATACTAAACTAATTTAACACCTGAATTCTATATGTACATCACCCTAATATTTATCCCTAGCAGAAACCTCCCCCTATTAATCAAGCCCAGCTGCCCGGGAAAATATAAACGTGTTTACTATTATAGTTACAGTTACAATCCCCTTTGAAATTCATATGGCTACTTGGGTAGCACCATTTCATACTAGATTCACGCCCCCCACGTGGGGGTCTCTATAAAATCATGCCCCCCAACTTATGCGCACGCTATAGAATCAAAGCCCCTATGTCGTGAAGTGAAAGCTCACGGAAAGTATGTATGAAGTTTTCAACACTAAAGAATCACAACCCCCATCTCACATACCGCTATATGTGCTTGCTTTTTCATCATGAGCCTTCCACGGGAAAGTTTTTTCATCATGAGCCTTCCGCGGGAAAGTTGACAAAGCACAAAGTTGAAAGAACAAAGAAAAGGTGAAAGAGCACTCAAAAAATGACTGTCACAAAAAAAACACTCAAAGGTTGTTCCTCCGTAGAATCATAATCAGTCAATGACCATCAACCTGTCTGCCACTAAGAAATCAAAGTCCCCCTGTCACCAGTACAAAGCTCACGGAAACATAGATCTCAGGGTTCTATCACTTTAGAATCACGACCCCCAGGTCAACTAGGTCAAATTGCACCCTTGTCGGAAACTTCCCGTGGTATCTCGTGGTCTCCTTTTAGAATCAAGGAACCTGAGTGTCTCAATTCTATAGTGCTATAAAATGGGTGCTCGGGAGTACCCAGGTAGCAATAATCTGTAGGGGGAATTTTAAAGGGGATCAGTTACAGCATTATTATTTACTATCAAGCCCAGCATCCGATACCTTCTAGTCAGCATCCATTGTTCCACAATCCTTAAAGACCTCTCTAGCAGCCTTTTTGTAATGTTCCCTTATTAAAACTCTATCAAAATCTTAACGTTTTCTAGCTCACAAAGGGTACCTCTCACAGGCCTCAGTGTTCACACAGAATCATATCAACCATCATCCATCAGGTCATCACCTTTATGAAGGGGATGTGGTCTCCAATCTCAAACCTTGTGGACCTTGAAGGGGAGGGTTGATTAATCCGGTGTCGACATTGGAGGCCATCGCTATGAACTGAGCAAGAACCTAGTTGCTAGTATAAGTTGGTTTGTATCCATCGAATGGGTCAACTGCCCGAATCGATTCGAACTTCCCGCACGCGGGCACGGCGTCTGTGTCGCAGTGCACGCGCTGCCCCTTGGGTTCGTACGGTAGCTCTGCAAAAATGGCTCTTTTTGCAAGTGTGTTTGGTCTGAGAAAGCCTGCAGGAACTGAAGAACAGCTTATTGAAGTAAGCTTGAAGCAAAGGTTACCGTTCTTGAATCTTGTGCATTGGAGGTTTTCGCTGCTGTTCTGAAACCTTGGAATCATCAGGAGTAAACTATATTGGTTCCAAGGTACGGAGCGGCCAAGAATCGATTGAAGTGCTGAATTGCTCGCCATGTCCGGTCTCTCCCTACATCAAGCCACAAGTCTTAGCTAGCTGCCAAGAGAAGATGAGGACATAAGTCTTAGCTAGCTGGGTCGACACCCGTTTCGCCCAGCTCAACACCGTAGCTTCACCCTGTCGACCGTCCCCTGGAAGAACGGAAGAGCTCCGACGTTCGGCGACCGAACCCGGTCCGTGTTCGGGTCAAACGAGGCAAGAGACGTTGGCATCTTGTGGTAATCTACATGGAAGGCCCGGTGATTGAAGACAAGGTGACATGTTAAGACCACAAGGTACCCCAGCTGAAGAGCCAGCCGCTCACAGTCCTTGAGATCGGCACGAACCACCTGCTGGTCGTAGCCTGGTCAGGACGGCGGTTGTTTTATCAGAAATGGGTTGCCTTCCTTCCAACACTCGGGCACGCTAAACCCAAACGAGCAACGGTTGAGTTCAATCATGCTCAATCTGTTACACCGCCCATGTCTCAGGCAGATTGTCGACCCCAAGTCAGGCTACTTGGCTACTTGGACGATTTGCCCACGAAGGATATTTTGTCGCCTCAACTACAATCCTATACGATATCAAACACCATGGACAAAAACATATGAAAACCGTCCATCCTCATACATACGGCCAAATGTTCCAACCAAGTCAACATCACACAAACTTCTCAGTCAAGTACCAAATCATGATGACTTGGTTTACAATATGTTTATTAATGTCTCCAATGCACAGTCAATGACAGCCGATGTTCCAATCCATCGGGACGTCACGACGGGAATAGACTTGGGTGTGCCACAAATCAACCGAATGGACCCCGCTAGCCGAGCGAACGAGATGCTTGAGATGCGAACGAAGTAGACTTGATCTCGATGTGGGGTAGTTTCAAAACAGCTCTTGCCAGGTAACCGGTGACCCCTCTGAGTTGCTTCACAGCCTCGCCACCACCCATGCCCGATGCACGTCCTCTAAGACTCCAGCCAAGGAGGCTCAGGATCTTTTTCCTCATCATCCAGGCCAGCAACAATCCTGAACATCCGTCGACACGTCGACCGGGACGAGTCGTGCGGCGTGCCTTTACCATACCGCTCCGTTCAGGTGGGGTTGCAGGTTTGGACAAAACAAAGCATGCACGTTGTCACGTTGCAATCAAAACCTCTGTACCACTCACTTCACAAACATCACAAAACTAGGTGCAAATACAACAAGTCCAAAGAATTGGTGACCATGGATATGGAGTCTCATCAGCACCACCCGGGACAACAGGACGTCGATGAAATCTCAGCTTTTCTTCGATGAGCACAGCAAGTTCGCCCTGCCTAGCACCAGGGAGACTTGCATCAAGACCTGCAGTGAGCATTGGAGCATTGGACACTGGTCAGCCAGTCCAAAAGCACACACCCACACTTTTGCAACATGACTTCAGGGCAGCTGACATCAACTCATCATCTTGCTCTCCGGAACAAAACACGTGGCGTCAATCCACTTCCAAGGAGTCTAAGGAGGCTGCAATTCTGTGGACGATGAATGAAGACTGTGGAACGAAGAGCTGCAACATGTGCAAGGCCGGGTTTTGTTGATCAAAGGAGTCGTTTCCTCGCCCACCGGCCCCACAACTCGGATGCCAGCCGCTTCAAGCTTGTCGGACAAGAGCTCCAAGAGATTGACCTGGCAAACACCGTGCTCCAAAACCGTGTTTGACGTCTGACAGTGACGTGTTTGGTCTGAAGTTGTTTGGATTTAGCCCTATTATCGCCATAGCTGTCCATTTCGCTTCGGGCATCCTCTAGCGCCACAGCTGGGTATACTCGCTATAGCCCTGGCGGGCCGTGGCCATATTCACCGAAGGAAGTTCTGAGACGTGAAGCAGGTCCCTCCAACGAATGGTCTAGACTCTAGACGTCTTCAACGGATGGATCACACAAATCCATGGAAAACACCGCCCGTCTGCTTCTTTAAGGAAACATGTCTTTTCCAAACATATACAAAAAAAACACATTCTTGCAATTTCTTGCACATCAACATGCCGTTAGGATATAACATTAGATAACAATATAATGTTCACTGCCAAGCTTTCCGCCAACATCAGCAATTGACTGAGAGGAAGAGCAGATTGAGGCTCCGAGCAAATTCGAAAAACAGATCATTGGCGTTGACGTCGGGCCTCATGACATACATGAAGGTCATCCAACAATGTCCAACATACAGGTTCTCGATTTGCCCATGCACCTGTTAGACGTGGATCTTCGTAAGCCACATATTCAACAATTGTCTCACCCCCAATGTTTGCAGGATGTACTTGTAGCTGGAGCTTCCACCCGCTTGGATGGAAAGAACTAAGCTGCAGTCAGCGTCCTGGGTGTTTGAACCGCAAAGAAAGGCTGAATGGGCGTGAATTTGAGTAACCAAAGCGCCGAAGAAATGTCAAATCAGTTGAATCTAAACCAACGCAATTTGCATATTACAGCAATACAGAGCAAGAACGGACAAAGTCCTTGTTTCGCTTGTTTGTCCGTGCTGCTACCAAAACCAACTAATACAGCTGTATCAAATGTTTGTCCTTCCAGCCCTTTGCCCGCCATTGCCATCAGGCTTCCGCACTCTTTGGCAACCATGTAGCTCACGGCGCTCAAAACAAAGACCACACCAAAGCAGAAGTAACTGCGTCGCTCCGGTCCGGTTCCCGGTCGCGGAATCCGATGGGGGTGAGACTTGAAGGATCGGTATTTCAACGGGTTTCAACGTTCTTTCCAGCCTTCAAACACCTCTCAGTCTTCCTTTCACCTGATTCATGTTGGTGGAAAATGGTTCTCTTTCAACAGGGTGGATTCTGGATGAGAACATGCGTTTCTAGAGACGTTCCATGAACTGTCTAAACCGCCAATGAGCGTGCAACTGATTTGGAGATCCACTTATAAAAGCAGCCTAGATTTGGTGGTGTATCTCAAATCATTGACCAAGGCTTGGAAACCTGGTATGGCATGGAGAATTCAGTTGCAAGTGTCCAATGTTTTGCATCAGATTGGCAAATATATTTGTTAAACGGTATGGCGGTATGGGAAACAACATGAAACAACATTCAAAAGACAAACGGGGGAGAACTAACAAAACAAAAAGCACACATCATCGCACTGATGAACTGTCGCATTGACAAAATGGCGCACCAGCTGACATGTCGAGAGAGGCATCTCTGGAAACACCGGCAGCAAAGTCCACGGTTGATCAAGACCAAAGGCAGTGCCTGGGATCTTCGGTTGGGCCGACAAAAGGAACTCTTTCGAGGTCCAAAGGGGTCGTGTTTCGTGTCTGATCTTTCATGAAACACGGAGGCTCCAGACAAAAACATGTGCAAGCATGCCCGTGTTTCGAGTGATCCCCACCCAGAAAATGTGATTTGGAAGAAGGGGGGATGTATGTAGTGACATCTTGGTATATGACCTGGCAAACTCCGTAACATATGAGAAGTTGGCAAAGGTACCCTGATCATGGTTAGTTTAAAATGTACAGTATGCACTTTTTTTCTGCCCTGCGCTCGGACATATGTTCTGACAGCTCCTGACCTTATTTGGCATGGCACATAGGCTCTGACATCAATGCCGGATGTGTTTTGACATGCGCTGTGACACCTGTTCTGACTTGCCTTCTGAAATCTATTCTGGCATCAATTCTGGCATAATCTGCTTAAATTTGATCTCGCATGTCTTTTTCCCCAGATAGCCGGAGCTATTGGGGTTCTTACTTCAAGTATAGGAAGAGGTGCCTGTGTGCGCTTCAGAGCCTGGGTGCTCCGCTGCCACTCAAGGGAGCCTGGGTGCTGCTGCCAAATGCTTATGGCGGTGCGCTTTGGAGCCTGCATACTGGTGCCGCTGTTATGGTGCTGCCCACAAACTACCTTGTGCTATCTGGGGTCTAGTCTATGCTGGCGTAAATTTGGTTTGGTATAAATGTTGTGACATTTGTTCTGGCGTATCTCGTGACATGTATTCCGGCATCTGAACAAACATATGTTCTGGCATCACGTCTGGCATTGACATGTGTTCTGACATCTGCTCTGACCTTTGCTATGACATGTATGACTGCATTTTGTCCACCACATGTTCTGGCAGGATGTCTCGCCCGTGAAGTCCAGCACGACACAGGCACTTGCGAGGGCCATGTGTCCAGCATGACACAGTCACGTCGAAGAGCCATGGAGGAGCAAACACAATGAAAAAGAGGCACAGCGAGGAGGAGCAGAAGGAGGAGGAGGAAGAGAACACTGACATAATTGTGACATAATACTGTATCTAGACACCCTCACCTGACAGGTTGAGAACAAGGATCAGGAGGTCCTATCGTTTGTTCAAACTGCTTTTCCGTGGCTTTGTACTTGCAAGACTGAGACTCGTGGACTGTTCCTGCTCAAAGGAGCTTGAAACATATTCAATACATTATATATATATATATATGAGTTAAATAAATATATAATATATATACTGTAGTCTATAGTTTATAGTTACATCATACCAAAGACAACAGTGCCATACACTTCCACAACTCCCTTCCCTTCGTGCTAGGTCCACTACAGCACGGCTTCGCTTTTCTGGGCTGCTAGACATTGCTGGCTCAAGCCGGTCCGAACAAAAACAACAGCAAACACTGGGCGTCAAGGAGTGAACATCATGTAGACCAACAAGAAGAGGATGGACTAGGGGGAGCCGCTACATCCCCATTGCTGCTGGCAGCTTCTATTTCAATGTCAGCCTTGCTAGCCTTGTTGGAAGCAGTTTCAGCTTCAGCTGGCCCTGATTGGCAGTTCGGTGAGGGAGATCCCAAGATGTCGCAGCTATAGCACATGATCAGAATGACTAGCATGATGCTGGCGGGGATAGCACATAGAAGGCCTGGATCTGTTAGTACCAGGTAATAGAAGCTTCCCACGAAGATGGCAACCGGAAAGGCAAGGCTGGGGAACAGCACGGCTGCAGCACATAGGCGCGGAATGTATCGAGCCAGTCGAACACCGACATGCAGTTCGATGAAATTTGCCCACCACGTCCCCAATAACAGCGCCATGCTGATTGTCATCCATTCCAGAAGCCATCGCGGAATATCCAGGGCAGCATCTTCCTTATAGGAGCAGCCACTCATGGTTCTGTGAAGAATCCTCGCCAAAGTCTCAGAAAGCCAAGGCATGTTGGTTGCCGCAATCATGTAAAACTGGTAGCGGCGGGGTATCAAGTTGGACATGCTCGAGAGGATCGAGTTCGCTAGGCGCGTCTGGACGAGCCAATTGAACCGCGACAAGCTTAACAAACCGTCCTCATCTCCGTCCTCGGGGTGGCCATACCATTCCTTCAGCTTCAGATACACAAGTTCCCGGTCGCACGGAATCTCCGCGCCAGTGTCGGGATGTCGATGTTGATTTGAACAACAAAAGCAAAGTGTATCTTGCATCCGAAAGGTGTGCAGCTGCTCTTCAACAAGCTGCGCATTTTGAGCTAGGTCAATGCCCCAAGAAAGCAAGGGAACACTAAAAAATGCCACCAATAAACATGCTGACAAAACACCAAGCAGCACCTGATCGTGTCTCTCGAGCAACAGCATACCCGACTGGTCCGCATCCATCACATGCAGCACGTACCACAAGGTATTCGCGACGCCACTCCATGTCACATATCCCAGCACCAAGATCAGGCCCGCATGTGCTGGCATGACTACCAAGGGCTTTTGCTTGCCATCTGCCAAGAACGTCGCTATTTCATAGGAGCACCAAAGCCTTCGAAAGTATCGGGGAGACCAAAGAACCTTGCTCGAAGATTGGCAAAAAACAATGGACCTCAAGGCAAAAATAAGGTCACGCCCGCTGCAACGGCCCCGCGCGATTTGCGCGTTCTCACATGCATCTTCGAGTCGTTTTTCACAACCCCTCTGGCACTTTATGGCGATGCCTTTTTTAGGTCAATGTCACTTCGAATGTGTTTTTACACCACAAAACGCCTCCCAAATCGTAACTCCATTGTGAAATGACAGTGCCTTCGGGGACCCGGAAGTAAAAAAAAACGGATCTTGTATCGTTGCTCTTTTTTTCATGAAACCTTAACACACTTCCACTCCCTCAGGCGTGCCACTCCTTTTCACGCGTTCCACTCCTTCTGTGCCATTTGACCCAACTTCTGCAGTTGGTGCTTAGACGGTGTTATTACAGCGCCACAGAAAGCTATATATATATATTCTTGGATCTGTGCACTCAACCCGCCATTGGATCGTTTGGATGCAAACTCTTTCGGGATAAACTTCTTCAGGGATGACCATTTGCGGTCAATACATTGGGTGCCATGCGTTTTCCGACCACGCGCTTTGCGCGTAAACTCCATCTTCACATGCTTCACTTGGAAGCATTTGCGCTTCAAAACTTGGTAGCATCCCACCCCATCCCCAACGTAGCATCAACTTGGTTTGCAAGTGCAAGCGAACGTTAACTGACCCCACCCCATCCCCACCCCATTCCCAACGTAGCATCAACTTCGTTTGCAAGTGCAAGCGAATGTTAACAGACCCCACCCCATCCCCACCCCACCCCATCCCCAACGTAGTATCAACTTGGTTTGCAAGTGCAAGCGAACGTTAACAGAACCCACCCCATCCCCACCCCACCCCATCCCCAGCGTAGTATCAACTTGGTTAATGGTGAAAACGTGGAAATTCTCCGGGGCCGTTAGGGGGGGGCGTGAGCAAAAATATGCAAACATTACGTAAGCAAATTACAGGGCAACCACCCGAACGCAAAAATAGAGGCATCACAAACTACCAAGGTACAACAAGCCGCCTCGAATGGTGTAGGAAGGCTGCAAGCCCCAGAATTCCTTTGGCCTTCAAATCTGCAAGTTCCGGGCTTTGGGCAATGCACAGTTTGTCCAAAAAGACAAACCGTGGTGTGAACAGCAAGGTACGAACTCTTTGCCAAAAGCACAAAACAATAAGGTGAATGCCATGGCAAGTTCCAACTGCAATGAGCCTCTGATCCAGCGCTAAGAGGTTTGGTCTGCATTCCGGCTGATGAAACAACCGGAAAGTAGCCAGTGCGACAGCTACCAACAACGTTGCAACAAGTGCTGCTCCTGAGTTGTAAATGATCAGCATCGATGCAAGCTTCAAGAATCGAGAGGTTGCCCAGTCGTGACTCAGGAAGTCGTCAAAGTATTCCATGGCACGGCTCAGGTCATAGTCGTGGGGATTGATGTTGGACATGCCCGGATCGGGCTTGCGCCAGTGTCTTCCAAATCCACTGAGGCACTCATGCAAGGACACTCCACGAAGCAGTTCTGGCTCCAAACGAGTCAGCAACTGGGGCTGTTCCATGGCTTAGCACTTGGAACGGCGGTTCAGACGGACTTTGTGTGTTATTATGATCATTAAATGATTGTATATGCGTGGTGGTTGATCTAAAAAGGAGTCTTCCAGAAACGCCACTCTCAGCGAACAACACATATTTGCATTATATTATACTTTTGTGAACTCGATATAATTATTACAGTAAAGAACATATCATGTTTACATTATTTTGCGAGCAACATAGAAGGTTCTGAACCTATAGGTCTTATGTCGACCTTTTGATCAACTATATAGCAAACCTGTGGCTTACCACAGTACTTGCAGCTCTGAGTTGTTGCGAAAATCCCCTCCCCACTGGTCTGCCAAAGCCCACAGAGCGTCAGTGCGGCTGCTGCCCGCGAATCATGCAGCATCACGACATGTGATACAACAAACTGCGCTACGTGTGGCATTCTAAAGTTGTGCAGGATGTGCTTCTAGATTTCTAGTCACAAAAAAAGACTAGGTCTCCCAATCTCCCTGCAGGTCTCCATTTACTGCAACCAGCCCGACCGAACCGGGCATCTTCCGTGTTTTCTTGGCGGTTTTCTGCGTCCAGAAGACGTGGTTTTCGTCCAAGAGGCCCAAATCATGAAGGCCAGCAGAAAGACCACAAGGACCTGCGACGGATCGACGGGGGCCGACTGGTCGACTGGTATCGACCTGCGACTCGACCTGCAACTTAGTTCGCATGACTGCGAAGCTCAGGTGTCCAGGTCTGGTTGCTCTATGACTTTTTTGCTATTTGTATCAAGTCACTATTGCAGTTGAGTCATGAAACATCCTGAACATTTATATAATATAACGCAATTAAGAACAATCACATAATAACATATAATATCTGTGACATAACCATTATGATTCTGATATTACGACAAACTGATTCTTCGCACCACAAGTGGCTGGCAAGCAAGTTGGAACACAAGAACAACTTCATCGTGCTTCCTTCTTCCAGCGAGCCCCTGGAAGCCCACCTCCATCTTCTGCACCATCTTTTCTCGCTTCTCTTCGGGTAGACTGCAACATCCGGTCAAAGGCACGTCATGTTTGGAGTGCTTCGGAGACCATGAACAAAGTGGAGGACGTGCAGAGTGTGGGTGATGTTGATTGACATCTGATTGGGACAAACTCGCTTACGCAGTGGGGGCATCCCCAATGTCTTAAATGCTCACCGGTAACTCAAAAGACTTCCAACCAATTGGTGGGTGCACTTCAGAAGGAGACCGCACCTGTCCAGCGGAAATGCCACCGGGATGATGGTGGTGAGGGCCTCACTGGCGGACCGTCAATTTGGCGAGTGCAAGTGCCTCATTTGCAGACCTTTTGAGGGAACTCTCTGGACAGTCCAAGCCGAACAAAACGAAAAGAACCGAGAAATCGGTGGAACTGAGGAGACGAAACCACTTGATGGAGCACGTGCAGTACTTCTCTTACAGTCTGTGGAACATGGAGTCCAGTTCCTCCGGGGAGTCCGGGGAGGCCGGCAGCTGGCTTCAATTCATTTTGAGTGGAAAAAATACACTATATGTAGCCTCTATATATATATATATATATTGGGAGAAGCAGTTGCAGTTCCGGGTGCCTCCCTTCGTTGAGGTTCTTTGTTCAGGCTTCTTGGGGACCCGATAGCCATGAGGGAGTTCTAGTCTAGAGAACATGTTCTTTACGACTACATCCTTCTCCTTGAGCAGCTCAGTATAGCTTTGTTCTGCTCCATGAACACATTGGACCAAGTTCAGTCTGCGAAAATACTGGAGCTTCCCGACACCTTCCGGAATCACCGGGAGTTTCCAGCCCACCTGAAAGCGCGGCTGCAAGAGTCTTTCAGTCGAAGTACACCCCAAAAAAATGGCAGACGATTTCCTGGAACCTGAGAATTGATGCCTGGCTCCAACCCAGTGGCATAGGGGTTCCATGTTGGCGAGATCTGAGGAGTACCATTGGCTGCATGTTGAAAACACCGAAAGGACCGCTCTTCCACGGGGTACGCCCAGACCAACACGGAACCGGAACCAAGCCCGACGGGCTTCACACATGAGCTCCTGCGCCGCCAGCAGCGAACTCATAACCAAGCTGGGTTGGTCACAAAATCCCATCCGATCCTGATTCCTGATAACAAATAACATCTTGGTTTATTCCGGAACCTCTCCAACCTGCGGAAGACCCTCGGCACCTGACTCGGCTCGGAGCTGCGCCATGCCTTTCGCCATGTTCATCCCGCCTGCGCCGCCAAGGGCTCCGTGGTGGACTTGGCCGCGTGGCCCAAATTGCTTTTGATCGCCTAGCCGAGGCCCAGACTGCCCAGCGCGTTAAAAGAGGGCAGGAAGCACGGGAACTACACGGGACTACACTTGGAACCCAAGGGATGCAGCACAACAACGGGTCGAAGTGCCATTGCGGTATCTGAGACAAAGCAGGAAGTAAGATGCAACATAAGTTGGATTGTGCCACAAACAAACTCTGGTTGGGCTCACAAAGGGTCCCTAAAAGAACAACCACGAGCCGAAGGATGCACTCACGAAAAGGGTTAAACGCCCGGTGTAGTCGAACACGATACGGACAGGGAACACAAGAAGCACCAATTGAGATGTTTAAATTCATTCAAATCACTCACGGGCCAAGCTCTATTTGTTTATCTATATAGTATTACATCCCATCTTCCGCATCCACGGGGGTCAGTTTCTGCTCTCGGTGTCAACGTCCCACTTTCCAAGTGGCATGTTCAATGGGTGCCAGAGCGTCTGCCATGACCTGCTGAGCAAGCTGAGTGAGCCGGGACACAGACCTGAGGACTGAAGACGACGTAGACCCAAACACGACTGGCATACTTACAAACATTGGGGCTGGTTGATTTGGGGTCAATGTAGTTTAATGTAGGCATACCTGGAACTTCGTTACGGCAATAATAATTGCCGTTTTCATGAAACGTCGCCTTTTTCCGTTCTGCGGCGTTCTTCCATATTGATCTCATGGGGACGGCGTTTCTTGATGAACTGCGGCAGCTTCGGTCAGTTGACGGCAATTTTGGTCCACACATCCATGCGCCTCAAAGAGTCATTTCGTTTTAGTTTTAGGGCTGCAACATCTTGAGAAGTGCTACCATGAGGCTTGAAAACGATGAGCTCTACTTACAAGTGAAAAAGGAGAAGGCAATTTCAGGGTATGGACGGACCAAAACAATATCCTCTTTGGTAGATCAATCAAAACGGCGATTCTTCTTTTGTGACGGCGTTTTCACTTCTCTGACGGCGTTTTCACTTTCCAGGGATTGAGCTACGGCAGAAAAAATGAGTTACGGCAGAAATTATTGCCTCAACAGCCTACGGCAAAAATTATTGCCTCGGGAGGGTCTAGGTATATTCTACAATCACAGGGGAGTGTCTGGGATAGATGAATTCACTGACGCATGCGACAAGGCAAACCCCACGTAGGCAGTCCCCCGCCTGGTCGCTTCAGAACCCTATAAAGATTCGTGCAGAAATGGACCGCTCTTGTTGCTCTCTTCCAAGGCTGGATCCACAGAGGCCCTCAGCTTTAACTCCAAGAACCTTCATTCGTAGAAGCCCGGCATCATGCAACTTTTAAACTTGCTTCTCAGGCGCAGTAGATACAAGATGCTGCTCGTTTATTCTCAGAACAGCCCAACACATCCTGACAAGGACCCAGCCTGTTCCAGCTTTGCAGGTCGCACCGGTTTGGTTCAATTGTGTAGTCTGTAGCTGTTCCTACTGAGTTGTGCTGAACTAGCTGACCTTGCAAAAACGATCTGCCACCGGAGATCTTCAAGCAAAGGCACCCCAAGCATTGAATCCCAAATGTGTGAGCTTATGTTTGGGCAACCAAGTATAACAGTACAACAAAACAAAATGCGAAGCGGGTATAGTTGCTATCAAAGTCCTGAATCTGAAAGGAAACAATTACATCGGCGATTTTCTTCAGGTGCCTGCATCAATGGGCAAACTCCTATCTCAACACATTTCCAGCTTGAACTGCTGTGTTTGAGCTAGTCGGCCACAGCAAGCGACCACACTTCGGAACTTCGTCTGCTCGGGTCTCTTTCACCGCCGAAACCCGGGGCGGGACTCGTGCCGATTTGACCTCCGAAGTCGTTCGCCGAACCAGAACCATCCTCCGAGTCACTTCGGGTACGGTACTAGTAGCATCCGATCGCTCCGTTCGTCGCGATGCCCTTTGCTCTGTTCGTAGCGTCCTTGCTCCGTTCGTAGACTCCGTTAGGGCCCAAGAGACTCCGAGTCACGTCCTAGTCGCTTCAGTAGGACAGGCACCCTAAGCCTCAGGCGCGTGACGATCATCGCCACTCCTCGCGACAGGCTACGAGTGGTGATGCACCAGGCTGCACCAGGCGATGCAGACATGGAATTCTCAAAGTCAATGACTCTTGGCTTCATTATATCTTTTTCTATCGAGTTTGCCCATTCGGAGCCACATTTAGTGCCTTTTGGTGGGGCCGATTAGGAGCTTGGCTAGTGCGCACCTTTCATCGCCTCATTTGGATCCAACATGGCCTTTGGCTGTTTGTGGACGATTTCTTGTTGACTCAAAACAAGCAAGTGTTACCACTAAGACTGAGCTAACAACCTCTGTCATTTCCAAAACACGTTAGTGCCGTGCTGTTCAAAACATCTCAAAACAGTCCAGCTGTGAAAAGCACATGGCCGAAGAGATCGCTAGAAAAAGCATCCACCGTCTCATCGTGTCAAATGTGATGGAAGCTCATGTGTACCCTCAATTCCACGCGAAGCAAATCAATGTCCTGATCGGCTGTTTCGCATGTCTTCCTCCTTGATGTGGTGCTTTTAGTGTGTACATGTGCCTCTAAATGCCCAGACTATAGACCATTATACGTCTTCAACTGCTCAGTCAGTCTTCCTCCCGGAAGCGTCCTAGCAAAGCGATTCCCACCAGAGCCACGCCGTTGGCCCATAGCAATGAGGATCTGGCAAATGCTTCTGCATAAAGAACCGTCCCACCATCCTTTGTCCAAACATGCCAACATGATCCAACACGTGTATACAAGCGAAGCATGGTGAAACCGCTTTGTGCACACAAAACTTTCAACATGCCAAGATTGTGAAAAAAGCAGTTGCGGACGCGCTTTTGGTGCAGTTCTCGCTTGTGTTGGAACTTGTTTGGAACCCTTTGGGGCATCGCGAACGCTGTTGGGAGGTGTTCGGAATCTGCAGAATCCTTTGGAGCTTATCAGGTGGGGTTGATTGTACAAAAAGGCACTTCAATATACTCGACCCTAAAGTGAGACAAGATTGAGCAGGTTTGAAACTATCAAAGATTTGGGCAGTGACGTAGAACTCTTGCCACGAGACGATTTGTCGCGGTCTCTGAAAAAGGGGCCGTGCGCTTGGTGGCGAAGGCCGCGGAGGCCTGTGAGAGGCCTATGAGAGGCCTGTGAGGGCTCGGATCTCTGAAGCTGTTGGAGGAGTAGTCGAGCCAAAGATGTGGAGATGGATGAAGAACTATATACAGCATCTATATATATATATACATGTCTTTATTTGGATGCAATGGCCTCCAACCTAATTAATAGCGATGGCCTCCAACCAAAAAAGCATCTTTATATAGTACCACGTTTCCTCCGAAGTCGACCCCAACAACAAGCAGCATCACGCACCTTCTAAGGCTTGGTGGGAAACGGCGCGTGGTTTTAAAAGTTGCATGCTCTGAAAGTACGATTCACTGTGGGAAACTGCAAACATTCTGGCTTCTTCACCAGGGCCTCCACAGTTTACGGGCTTTGTATCGGAGTCGAAATCCTTATGGATCTGTGGCGCTGGATTCCATGAAGGCCAACAGCGGGGTTGTCTAAGCGTGCCAAAGAGTAGAAGGTGCTGAAGCCTGGAGTCTTGGTGCAACAAACATTCATCTATTACTAATCTATATAATCAAAGAACGTTTAGAAGTCTTGCATGCTATGTACATGTGACATCGGAGCATGTATTTATCGAAATTCCCCTCCCCCGACATGCCGGGTACTTGTATTCTTGGTCAAGCAGGACACAGGGTAGTCCAGGCAGGTGCGGCTAGTCCAGTGAAGTGACCCAGGTGATGTGTTTTGGGTACAAAGCAGGGCAAAGGCTGTCTTTTCCCTGTATTGGTTTAGGGGAATCTACAGGGCATCATTTTGGCGGTGAAAACAAGGGTTAGTTTCCAAACCAAGTCATTGATTCGGAGGGTTCTGAAAGTCTCCGAACTGATCAGGCAAGCCGTCCTCGGGCCTGGGTCTTTTCTCCGACTTCTCGGGAACCTGCGGCAGGTGAACCACTTGTGCATTGTAATATGGTCAACAAGTGAAGAACAAGATAGTGGCTGATCTAGGTGTGAGGAATTGGGCGATTCATGGGGCTTGTCTTTTCAACGTATCATTGATCAAATTATGAGCAAATAGTATGTACATCCTCCAAAGATAGCTCATCGCTTTGCGATCTGATCTGTTCAGCACTCCTCAGGCTGGATATTTCATGATGCTTCCACTTGCCACTCTCCAATCCGCAGGGTCGGTGCAAACATATCCAGGTTCAAGTGAGATCGATCCAAAGTGCATGCCTTTATTCTGTCTCCAGGCATGTTGAAGAAAGAAGCACAACATCCAGAGTAGCTAAACAAGAGAACAAGTCCCAAATATGTCGGAGTCCAAAGAACAACCTGATCAAGCTCCTTTGGAAGACGTTCTTTCAACCGTGCTTGTAGACATGCTTCCCTCGGCCTGCGTGTAGACATGTCCCTCGCGAGACATAGAACCTTGTGACCTGAGGTTGTTCCAATTCTCTGGACCTTCGCCCAGCAGTTCCTAGAAGCAACTTGTTACTAGTAGCTTCTTGTTACTAGTAGTAAGGCCAGGAGCCCCTAGTAGCGTCCTTTGCTCCTAGTAGCGATGCACTTGTTCCTAGAAGCAACTTGTTACTAGTAGTAAGGCCAGGAAGTAGCGTCCTTGCTCCTACTAGAAATTAGTAGCGATGCCAGGAGCCCAGAGTAGCGAACATTATTATTAGTAGCGTCCTGTTGACCCTGCAACTTTGCAAAGTTTTCAAGGAGGGTTAGGTGCTGTGAAAGCTGGATCGCCGTTTTGCTGTCCCATTGTTTGCGAAACACTGGCAGCCCCGACCCGGAGATGCAGCAGCCACTTAGGCTTCACTGGGTTCCAAGAAACATTCAAGGAAGGTGATCAAAAGACGATTTACTATTTTGGCCCATCCACAATAACAAATAGTGAGTAAGTAGGTGGAACATATTCAGTCTTTGCGTATTGAGCTAGTTAGAGCTACATATGCCCAGTGTCCAGTCATATGATTGGTTGATATCCTACATGTAGTCCAACATGACTCTTCAAACACAATGCAAACAATTCTCTCACGCCACTTGCTGCGCATTCTGACTGGTCTGCTAGTCTTGTCCGAAGTCCTGTGCACAAATTCTGCAGATAGAAACACACCACCAAATCATTGATTTATCCTTGAATCCTGGATCATCAGCTCTTCTTCTCGCAAAAGATTACAAACAAGTGGACAACAGCTTCTACAATCCATGACACCCAACTGCGCTCGTCCGCAATATGATACTTCAGTATGGGCTAGGTCAACAACAAGAACTGGTGTACATAACCATTATATACGGTATAGAGAAAGTGTTACAAATTAGTTTGTTACAATTTATGTTGTAAAACAATAGTGCGTCTCAACCTCAACTTTCGCAAAATACACTCCCGTGTCTAAAAAAAATCATGATTATGGATCCCCGGTCGCAAGAATTTAATGCTTGATGTGAGTTCATCTGCAAACATCGTTTCAGGATTCCAGCTTGGTACACTAGGTCATGCCAATACTCCAAAGCCTTGTTGACCACGTTCGGACATAAAACGATCGATGTCGACATGCATCCCCGAGCACAGCTTTGACTCAGGAGTGAAACTGAGTAGAGGCGCGGGTTTGGCGGGAGCAGTGGGTTAGTTCATAAGTACAATACTCGATCGGGTACTGTATGTCCTGCTCAGATTCAAAGCCAAACATTGCAATTGAAAGAATTGAACAAACAACTTGCATGGCGAGACTCCAACAAGATCTCACTTCGTACAAAGATTGGCGGTGAGGCCACCAACCTGCCCCTCTTGGATTCTAGATTCTTCTAGATTCTAGAGCCCACCTTTGGAACCATGTTTAAGTTTGGAGGCCTGCGGCCTTGTTGATATGTTATGTTCCTGTAGGTCTGTTCTGTACCCAACACCCTTCACCTTGTTTCTGTATCGCAGGGGATTCGTGGAAGACTCCACCCCGCCGAAAGGCCTATTTGACGCCGCACTGGTTGATGCCACAAAGGCTCTTGTAGCATTTGCCTTCTTTCTAGGTCAAAGAAGCAAAAACATGCCCGGTCAAGCGTCAAGCTCGAAAATATGTGATGATCCCTCATGTCAAGCCTTCCTGCATGGATGAATGTTCAAGCAGCCGCGCTCAGACCAAACCTGCAGGAACATCTCTCAAACGGGACGGCTGTGGCCATGTAAAGGAAACAATTGGTAGGAATGGATAGATAGAGGAACCAGCAACGAAACCTGTGGTCCATTGATGATGGCGCCAAACCCCTGCCATGCAAGCTATTTGCGAAGTCTTCCGGAATCTTGAGTCTTTATTTCAAGTGGTTCCAGTGATTCTAGCAACTGGCGCGCACCTTTTGGCAATAGGACGGCCATTGTTAGGAGTCGACGGCTGATGGTCGAGCTCTGAGATGACACAAAGGTCAAAAAAAGCAAAACAGGTGGGTTGGTTGCTCGAAAGCAAAATATTTGGTTGGTAGGTTTGACACGTGTTCCCACTCTCAGCTGAAGCTTCAAGACAGAATGTTGCCTTCATCGTATGTGATGTTCATTCCTTCCCTCAAAACCTTGAGATCTACAAGAACAATCAGGGGTGGCTGTCCGGTCTCCATCCAATTCTGTCGTTGTGCCCACCAGACCCAGGAAACCGATGTCTCGCCGGATGGATCGCCCATGTCTCGCCCCTTCGGACCTCAAACCATAAGCTTCTGCGCCACCATCTTCGCTTCTGTATGAAGCTTATGAAAGATCGGCTTCACCTGTCAGCTGCTCGCTGAAGAAACCAATACATGTGGTGATGTGCCAATACATGCTAATACTGTCCCTCCAAAACTGCGAGGATACTGACCCTGGCGGGATATTGTGTTGGAATCTGTGGTGACCATATCGCCTCGAGAGACTCTAGGCAACAGCCCATCTGCTAGACTGACTCTTTGCCCCAAGTACAATCGGTCTAGGGGGCAAAGCCGGGCAAAGCGAAAACACACCACTTCCACCTCGAGACTCGGCCAATCGCAAGCTCCGAAAACTCGTTCTGTCGTCAAATCAGAAGAGGCTCCCCAGTCACTCTGAGGGCAGGAGGTTAGGCCGGCAAGGATTTACCACTTGCTCAACTTTGAGTCATGAAATCAAACTGTGGGACATGTATATATTATAAACAGGGTATCATATACAGTACGTGATATAGACACCTCAGGGTGTCATGGGTGACATCAATTTGACAATGCTTCAGTCCTTTACGGCTTGATCAATTGCCGTGAGCCCCGTAAAGCTCTGATACTGTGTTGTTTCAAGGCCACTCAGTCACTCAGCGACTTAACAAAAAGCGACCATGCTGTTGATCTCGCGCGAGAGTTGAAGTCTCGGGCAACTTGGCTCAAGCGTTGTCAATCTTCCTGTGATACCTCTTACAGTACACGTGTTTTTTTCATATGTTGCATACTATATTATAGCATATATATGGTGATATCATGGTGATATCACAGTATCCCTTTGGTTAAATTCACACCAGTGCCCTTCGGTCGGTCTTCTCCGACCCTCGGACCCGGTGCGGCACTTGGTCCGTTCCCGTCGTCCGATCTTCGGTGAGTTTTGGCCGGGCGCCTCGCGCGTGAGGTTCGTTCGATAGCTTTGCTTCCAAAGGTCCTGTGGGCTTTGCTTCCACAAACACCCAAGATTTGGTAGCTTTGCTTGGAAAAAAAGATCGTGAAGTAACAGCATGGTGCTTCCAAAGATCGGGTCTGGGATCGTGAAAAGGCCAGCAACGGTCGTAAGGGGAGCCCCGTTCGTAGCGTCCCGTCCTCGCTCCTACACGACTTCTGTAGACGAGCACGGCTCGTTTGGCCGGACCGTTTGGAAGAAATCCCCCGTTTCCGGCACCTCTTTCAATAGGGAATGCAAGCTCTCCAGGGTGGCATAGACCTGGCAGGTTGGTGATCCTTGGCTCTTCAACAAGAACTATCATTGCACTTGGTCGAAGTCTTTCAAGCCAATGTTTGTTTGCGTCCACCTTTCTGAATGAAACACCGAAGTGTCAGAGCACCAATACCGGCGACATGCCAAACACCGCTGGTCCTGCCACAAGGTTGTCCGCTCAATTCACTTGGCCAAACATTCCACGAGTACATGTCCTCCAAAAGTGGATGTGTTTTCATCTCAGCCGTTCCTCTATCTCCCAAACATTGCCAAATAGGGTTCTGGGTTCTGGCCCGGGCCCCGGGCTGCACATGTCGTTCCAAGCACACCCACGAGAAGCCTTTTCCATCCAGAGCCCCCTATTGAACTCACCATTGCTCAAACCATGAACACCCCGTGCGAGTCAGCACCATGTGAGTCGGCGGTATTGTTGAGTTCAGGTGGTATGGCCGACCTGCTCCTCAGTTCCATTGGTCAAGTTCTTCAAGTATCGGCCACCACAGGCCTGGCGCGTGTGACTGCGCACTCCTTGAGTGAGCAGTCACGAGAGGGCTGGGAATGCTTCGCTCCTTCCGGAAGTAATCCTCCGTCGTGTCCGATCTGATTCACGTGGAGTGGTAGATCCAAGACCTGTATCGTTCAACTCACTGTATATCTTAGCTTTGTGCTATGGGTCGAACGGTAGTTTGCTATGCGGATGCCTATTATAGGCAAGAATGGAATGTGATTTGGGAATTTATACAGACCCCAGCACCTCTCAGATTCCCTTGGCAACACCCAACAGCACTCCCTCAATAGAACATGCCGTCTCCAAGGAACTCTTGCTCAGCCTTTGGTTGGCTCATGGTATCGAACACTAGCAATCACAACAAAGTGAGTCTAGATGGTTGATTCATGATATTATGAATGTGCGGGGTAATCATTAATTAGATATCATGAATGTGCGGGGTTTTGCGCCACCAGCTGTTTCACTCTATCATTGTAAACTTGTAAACCCCAGCCTTGCGGGCAAAGGTACCAACTGTTTGGTCACCCCAACTGTCACTCGTGGGCTGTGGTCGGAGCTGTTTGGTACCACCTCTCCCGTTACATCACCCTGGTCGGGTCACGGTGGTCACCAGCAACCAAATGGTCAAACACTCCATCGGACTGCAAAAATGGCCTACATGTGGTGATTTGCATAATATATTATAATATATATTATTATACATGTACCACCAAAACCACCACAAGAAGGCCATCTTCGCTGAGTGGTGAAAAACGATTTGGTTCATGAAGTTGTTGCATCAACCTCACCTCGAAGTTGGCGAGTGACAGGTCGCCTCGATCATCAGGAACCACGGTTCTGTGCGTGTGTTGGAATGCGGAGACCGGTAGATTTCCGGGTTGAACTGGGAGGTCTCCCTATACTTTCACACGCACTCCGTCTCCGGCTCGGACGTGAGAACTTCGGACCCAACGACGCGTCGTTGGCTCGTATGAAAAAAGGGCAATGGGCTGGTGTCAGTCAACGGCGCGCTTTCTTGGACTTCAAGCATTTCATCCGCCTTTTGGCATTTGCACACAGACATGCAATAGAATGAATAGAATGCGCGTTCCAACGCATGGTGCCAGGGTCATTGAAACCAAGTTCACCTCGGTATAACCGGTGTGGGGCCTGATAGTCCTCGACCGATGGCAGGCCCTGCTTGACGGTACAGCCTCAGTCCCCACACTGGATCTCGCAAACGAAACCCAAACATCTCGGCTGTGCAATGCAGGCGCTGGGGGCCATGCTACTTAGCCATTCGTTCTATAAGATCAGGTGTTTGGACATGATGCCACCTCATGCCCCCCTCTCAGAACTTATGTAGATGCCCCGTAAGGAAGTGCAATGTTCATGGCAGCTTGGGTGAGTACAGTGTATCTTCCCGCTCCCAGCAACCCTGCAATAAAGAACCCCACGATGGCATACCCTGGGGACACTCAAGCAGTCAGATTTTAGCACCTTCAAGCAACATCAAATCATCAAGACGTCAGGTGTCAGCTCCACACAGCGATGCTCTTGAGCAGTTTCAAAGGTCTCCTTTAGACAGCCAGGTTTTTTTGCTGGGTTTCTGATGGTTTCTGGTGCTGGAGCTGGTGCAAAAGAGTTGATCCTTGAGTCATGTAGAGGATCAACTGATCAACCCTTCAAATCCTTGGAAATCATTGGAAGATCTTGGAGAGAAAATCACGTGGAGCACGGATTTGCAAGCCTTTCGGTTTATTTGTAGCGCAGGCTCGACACTCCTCGCCAGGAAGCAAAGAGCTGATTTCAGGTGTATCTGCTAGTTTTTCGAATGCGTATTTCGGTGCTGGTTCCATCTTTACGCGTTGGTGTGACGGAATGCTGGATTCAGCTTTTGGAGGATCTTGAACAATCCTCCTTTGGCAAGCGCCTTGGACCTTGGCAAGTCCCTCAACCAGGAAAAGGGCCTGGCCATTGACCCTGCCTGGAATTGGGATGTTATGATACAACTGGTGTTGAGCTCGGCATCCTTGCATCTCCTTGCATCTCCTTGCATGTCTGCACCTGTCCCCAACACAAGTCTTTGACTTGGTGACCCTCCCTCAAAGAATCCTGGAAGTGGAAAGCCTCCTGGAAGTGGTCGTCTTCTTGCCATGTTCCACTTCCAAGAAGCCTTGTTGGAGGGAGGGTAGCCATCCACTGTCGTGGGATCAAAGGGACCTGGCCCCAGCCAATTGGCGTGAACGATTTGGGTGGCCAAGAAGCGCCCGTTGATCGTCAGGGCCCACAGTTCAATCAAGTTGTTGCGGCCAAAAGGCAGTTGTTGGTGGCACAAAAGAAAGGGATATCATTTGCAAGAGCAACTCAGATGACCATCCAGGTCAGGTGCATGTAACTGGAGATACCAAGTTCATGCGCCACATGAAGTCATCAATAGTAATGCCATGTCCACGGTGTATGTTCGTTCCATGTAGCCGGCTCCGGCTTTGCAGTGGCCCTATGTTCAACAGTGAATGTTGCATAGAAATGTACCATACTCATCCATATTCTCCGTCTGAGAGACCCACTTAAGATGATCTGCTGCATGTTTGCCTTTGTTCCATTCGAGTTTGATGGTCGGATGGTTTTGGCAAATGGCAGATCAACTGCTTACACGACCCAATGGACCAGCACAACCCGTTCCATGCGACGTGTTCACCGTTCAGCGTGTAGAACGTTCTGCTTCACTGCCCGACACCAAATCCATCGGTCGCAGGGCAAGGTGCCAGGCTGCTTCAGGAAAGCAAGCGATGCAGGTGTCGGTGTTGGTACCTAAACGTCATAGCCTTTGGATGCAGAGTTCTTGCGGCAACATATTGACACTGTAGATTGGTTCATGCGAAGCTGCTGAGCAGCTGCTGTGCTTTGCCAGAGCTTGTTGTCCAGTTCGTGGACCCAGCTCTCCAAAGCACTGGCCCGTGGCTACGCCTCCACGGACTGGAAGATGAGTGGCGCAAGTATTGGCTTGGCGTACATGGGAGTTGATCTAAATTCCTTTATCCGGGATCCGTCATTTTCGCCGAAAAAAATGTACTTTAGCCAAATTTTCGCCTTCCTGCGTTTTATCTTTCGCCGAAGTATGTTGTATTTATGTGTGCCATGTATGTTGTGTTTTGTTCACGTCAATGGTTTCTTCTTTAATGGCAAACACAAAATAGAAACTTCACTGTTTGTCAGCATGTGTCAGCATTTGGGCGCCACATTGTCACGGCCTGGAAAGCGCAATGATTTGGGTGGAAGAGAAGATTGGACCTTCATACGTCAAGTGTTAGTGTACCTTGACAGTGTGTGCAAAGACACAGGCACGGACGCAAAAGACACAAGTGTACCGTACCAAGGAGACACACACACTCTTCAACAGCAAGCAGCAGATGCAATGGGCAATGACGTTTGAGAACAAGGTGAAGGCGATATGTTAAACCAATATTTCTGGCATGGGGATGTGTACAAAACCAAACAGTTGAGACAGTAGATGGACAAATTAATCAAACCCTAAACCACCATGGTCCATCACCACCCCCGCACCCCCGATTTCAATGTTGTCTCAGTAAAAAGATGTTTTGTTGTCAGGGGTTTGATTTGATTCGTCCACTCAAGCCAACCTCCTTTACCAACAGGCCAACATTGAACTATGGGGGGTAAGGGGGTGAATTCTGCAAGGGTTTGAATAATTCGTCCACCTACGGTAGTACTAGTAGTAGTAGTAGTAGTAGTAGCCGCAGCAGCAGCAGGTGATCTTCCACAGCTCATCTAACTTCTGAGCCAGCTGTTCAGGAAGCAAAAAAACATTCATACAAAAGTACATATTTAATCGTTCGCCAGATCTTTCGCAAAAAGAATACTTTCGCCAACTCGAGAAAAAACTTTCGCCAAATGAGATTTTGATATGTTCCGGGTCATCGTCATGCACAATGCTGTCTAGGACCTTTAGATCGACAACCACATAGCTCCAGGTTGTCCAAAGGAGTTGTTGGTTCGGTCACCATCCACATGATGCACTTGCTGGGCTTCCTCATACATGGGAAGTCCGTGACCTTCACAATGCAATTGAACTGGCCACATCTCTCCAACAATCCGAGTTTCCAAAGGTACCCATTTGCATGAAGAGACCCAAACGAAACAAGTGCTGCGTTTCGTCTTCCAAATGAACTCCCCTGCCAACACCTTCGTCTTCGTATGTTTCAGCGGCACAGCACTCAGCACAACCAAACATCCCAGAACGAGCTCGCTCGCCATGAGAATCAGCGAGCTCGCTCGCCATCGTCTAAGTGAGGACTTCGTCCCTGGCTGACGCACAACATGCAATAACACCTCACCCGGCTGTTGAAGAGACAGTCCCTGGCTGCCAAACAATCAAGCTCGCTCAAGCTGCACTTATCTACAAACTAAATATTGCACACTTCGTGCCGGCCTGGGTTTTTATCATGTTCTTGTGCTTCAGCTTCAAGCACATAGATCTTCTCCCAGCTCCATGGTGAACATGAATGAAGTCAATACCCAAACCAAGAAACCGTGCAAAGTTGATCATGGTAAACACTTCCACCATCGCTTTCATCCACTATGCTTGGTGCCCACCATAATTCCTCCCATCATCCAAGTATTGTATGGATGTGTTCACGAACGTTGACATCTGAGGTTGTACGAGCTTGCTACATGTTAAATGATGCTTACAGTGTTTCATGCATACATGGTGTAGCCGGTCTTGTCTTGTCTAAACAAGCAAACTCGTGTACTAGTATATACTAGTATGCTGCGAAAGGCCCGGATGCTCCATGTGAGGTGGATCATGGAGTATGCTCTGTTTCCGACCAACTGCGGGTGGCCCTTATCGATATTTACCCGGCAACGTGGCCTGTGACATGGACCGAGTTGACCAACAGGTTCAACCAGTGAAGCAGGAAGATTGGTCTGGACAAGGCAGCACAATTGGTTTTGAGGAACTCTCTATCCTTTGACCTTTTATAGTGAATTAATATTCTGGGACAACGAATGACCTGCGTAGACTGAACTCGTAAGATCTCGTCTTGTATCCGCGCAGATCCAGCCTTGAAGGCCCAAGTAAGCGACAACAGCAATACGTAATACAAGAGCTACAAGAGGGCCCCATGAAAAAAAAACAATTTCTGAAGGTTTTTGTCGAACAACGACGCATCTGATGGGGCCTGAGGCCGCCCCTCGGAAGCCCCTCTGAGCTGAGGTTCCTTGCTGGACACCCAGGCTTCCTGCAGAGCCACCTGAGTCTCGGGAAACCGGGCGGCGACTCGGCGACTGGTACGACAGGGGAGGGCGGCTCGACGCTCGGCGCGCGGTGGTCCAGTATCTTGTTACGTTCGTAGTAATGCCAGGAGCGCCCCTATATACTAGTAGCTTCTTGCTCGTAGTGTAGTAGCGATGCCCTTGTTACGAACGTAGCGATGAGCATCTTGCATATTAGAAAGCTTGGTTTTCCTGGTCAGAGCCTTCAAAGTTCACACAATGACATGCTTTACAAGTTTACCATATCCGGGCAGTGGCCACTAGTCACCCCACAAGACCTGTTCCAATACCCAAGTACTGATAAAAACTTCAAGGACTGACAGGATGGCCAGAACCTTACCTGAGAAGCTGCAAAGCGAAAGCCAGCATTTTTACTTTCGAGTGTGTTTTCTCAGGCCTCCCCCCCGAAACCCCCTTCTTACTCAGTTGGCGCCTTGCCAGGTATAGATACCCAGGGTAGCTACAATTCAGTTACCAGGTATAATACTTCAAGTTTCCTTTCCGTCAACCGCTCGATAACCTTTACACACGCACAGCAACCCACAGCTTTGAAGTCTCATTCGTGCTTTGAACTTATATAGGTGTGTAAGAGGTGTAGCAACATAGCATTTATTCGGATCCAGGGTAGCTACAATTCTGTTCCCAGGTGTCGCACGCATGAGACTTCAAAGATGCGGATTGTGCTGTGCGTGTGTAAAGGTTATCGAGCGGTTGATGGAAAGGGAACTTGAAGTACTATACCGGGTAACTGCATTGTAGCTACAGTACCCTGGCAAGGTGCCAACTACACCTTACCATTCAGATGATGCTAATGATGCAAATTGCATTTCTTGCATCACCACCCCCTCAAAAATCACCTCCAACACAACCTCAAAAACCTTCCTTCCGCGCACCCCTCTCCCCCACCCAATTTCGAGTTTACGTAATACTTTCTCGGGCCAACCCCCAGACCCCCTACTTACTCGCTTCGTTCGCCAAACACAACTCAGCTGGCGCCTTCTACGAAGGCTGGCTTTCGTAACAAACTGCCACCACAGTGGACAACGTGAATCTCAACACTGGCATATGGTAATCCACCGAACCACTCAAAACTCACCTGAACTAAACAGAAGTTTTTGTTGGGAAGTAACTTGGAGTAACCGTCGTCACTCTGCCCCGTGAGCAGCGTGAGCAGCGTGGGCAGGGGCCCTGCCTGCAGCTGCCAACCGCATCCCTTGGGTGGTCGCCACACCAGTTGCGAGAGCCCTGGCAGTGTGATGGGCCGCCAATACAGGTGATCTTGGGTTGCAACCAAACCTGCTGGGGTGTCTGTCATGGGTGGCTCAGGAATAAATACGTCTTCTTGATATGGCCGACCAAGGGTGTTGAGCAAAACGATTCCAGGTGGACCGATCAACCTGACGAGTTGGGTCCCACCATGGTTGGCTCGGTTGGCTCGCCCAAAAGAACACACTTAAAACCATGAGCAACACTTGTCCAACCATCGAATGCACTCCAGGGCCCCCAAAGTAGAAGAATTCATCTAGAAAATATGCCAGGTCTAGGTCTGCCAACACACTCATCGACTCTCAAGAATGTCATGAGTATCCAGGTCCAGCCACACAAGGGGTCTCTGGATCCAACAAAAGAAACACAATAGTTCAGTGTCGGTCCGGTCCTACTTACAAAGGGCCAACCAGGAGGATGTCCTTCTTGCCCGCGCCCAAAACGAGTTCCACTCGTTCTCATCTACGGCCTGTGGAGTTCATCGTGGTCAAGGGACTAAAAAAGTCGCACAGGTCCGGAGAGAGCGCCTGTTGCGCTGAGAAAAGAAACATGTGAGGTAAATCTTGACAAAATGGCTTTCATGCAAATCAGTTTTGGTTTCGTCGAAATGGCTCCAGACACTTGTACCTACATACTAGTAGCCAGCCACAAAACGATTGCCCTTTGCATTCAATCTTTGCTATGCATCTGAGCGTTTGCCTGTTTGAGATTGGACCGAGCTAGCTCCCTTGGCATTTCGTGGACTTTGCTCTTTTGGGCAGTTGGTGGTTTCAGTCTTGAGCTAAGCAATGGGAGGAGACGGATGGAGTACCACACGGCAAAGTCCCCACTCTTTCAACAAGGCGGATACTGATTGTGGGTCTTACTTTGGCCACTGAGCTTCTCCCTGAAAAATTGTCTTGGCAACGACTTATAGAGGTGGTATAGAAGTGGTACTAGAAGTGGTATTACTACCTTGTGGTCGATGAGTATTCTCAAATCTTTCTTGTACAACATGAAGTGAAGTGAAGTGAACTAATTCAAAGTTGTTACGACTGGGTCCCACGTCTAATGTCCCCTGAATGCATGGGCCAACCTGCCTTGCACTCGCTTGCAAGCATATTCAAGCCAAACAGTGCCTGGCGGACACGTTAGATATGACAGGCCGAAGCAAGAATGGGTTTAGCGGGACGCGAGATAGTGGCCAATACATTCCAAAAAAGGTACTCTCCCGCAGACTAACATGGAACCAGAGAATTGTCCAGTGGAAGACCATTTTCTTTTATAACCGAGTGGTTTTGGGGGTCCATGTGGTCCTCTGCAGGGGAGTAAGTCTGGCTTTGCCAAACAGAAAAAGCAACTATTACATAGCAGCCATAGCAATGATCCTGTTATCCTGTTCTCCAAATTGACAGGATTTACAGTAAGATTAATCTTTGGAACCCAGGGTGGACTACGCCAGATGTGTCCATGTTTCCCAGAAAAAAAGAACATCCAATCAAACTCCACGAAAATCTCAGGACCAAGTGACCAAGTGAACAAAAGGTCCAACAACAACCCTGTCGTCGCTCCATCTGGACCCAACCCCACAACCTCGCCACGTTCCGTTGCGTATCCACCTTGCCACGTCGCTTCTCAGTGGTATTTGTCTCCTGACGTGACGATTTCTGGCACAAAACGGCAACACATCGTAAACCACCAGAAGTGACTGGGAGGTGGAGGAGCCACAGTTGAAAAAAATTGAAACACATGCAGCCCTACGAGCAGCTCTTGCAGATCCTCCACTGAACCCTCCACATGTTTTGATACGAAGACATGCAAAAACCACAGGCAACCACCATACCCAACGGGGAAGGAGTAGGGAGATGATATAATAGGATCACATGGTCATCCCTCATGTGCGGAAGGTTTGGAAAACCCTCTAGCCAATATGCAAATGGCTGCCATTGGATTATGTGTCGGACTCTTCGATCTTCAGCTTTTCACATGGTTTAAAGAGATATTCCCGTTCGACTTATTTCTCTTCCTGGCATGACTTCACAGCCGAACACAGACTGGCACCCCCATAGGACGCCTCATCGCCATTGTTGGACCCGAAGAAACCAGTTGGTAAACCACTGCTGCAGGGAAACCCCTGCGGGAGCTGCTTCGGTCACTGAGGTGCTGACGGGGTTGAAGTCTTGGATCAACTTCTCTAGACCACCCATCTTCTTCACCAGCACTTTCAAGTTCGCCTCAGGCACTCATCTTTCCGGCATTCAAACGCAAGAGGTTCAAAGAAATAACAAGAACGAGATGCTGGAAGTCTCACTGTGAATGGAGCTCTTGGCTTGGGACTGAAAGAATTGCTTAATGATGGGGTTACCAGCAGGGCCTCTTTCTGGCAAGGGGAAAGATCAAAAGCCTTGTGAAGCACGTTTGCGTGCATCCAAAAAGAAGCCAACCTTAAATGCCAAACACTTATTCCCAGTGGATGGTGCAATGAACACCTCCGACGGCCCCATCCGTTATTCGAGCTCATCTTTCTGGAGTTTCGGAGCACAACTGACACACATTCGCGATCGTTGAGAGGCCTCACCTTTTGGGGTTCATTCATGTAGACTCTTGATTAAGAACCCCCCAGTTGAATTCAAAAACCTCTTGATATGGGGTGGTTTCTTAACCAAGAGTCCACATTATGCTGAATTTGAAAGGCTCCTTTGAGTCTTTTGCCGCACTTTTCCTCTAAATATCACAAGAACTGCCGGAACATGCGAACATGCGCAAGAAGCCTACTCCAAAATACTGCAACAGGCAAAGGTTCGGTTTTGCACTCAAATGCCGTCCAAACACACACACACACCCCACATCCAGGGTCTGGGATGTTCTGAGCACCGGCACTTGGTGATCTGTGACCTGAATGGGCGCCACGACAACCCGGCAGTGCTGACCGGCACAGCCACAGCGGTACCACCCAGGAAACTCGACAGCTCCTCGAAGCGCTTTACTATGTTTGATGACGTTTCTTGCTGCTGGTGGTTTGGAGATGTTAGGAGGAATAAACTCAACCCCCCAGCAACTTGATCCCACTGCTTGCAACAATGTTTTTTTTGTGCCAAACTTTGTTGACAACAGTCACCTATCTCGGCGTCCACGCGATGTTGTAGAGCACGCTGGAAGCTCGCCCACGCATTTCCGGATCCTACGCAAGGCCGAAACGAGTGCAGTTCCGGTTCCCGAGCGGGGTGGCCGGTGTTCGGAGAAGGTGGCCGTTCGCTGGAGTGCAATTGATTGAAAGCACTTGGTGTGAAGGAAGAAAGTCCAGAAAGTGAACACTTGATGAGGCAAACATGTTTAAACGTGTTTAAACCAAACAGTACCACAATCCTGGTAACAAGCCAAAGTCACCGTGATCGAGGCAATCAATCACAACGAATAAACGAGCTGTTGACAAACCAAGGAAGATGTGAGACATTTGCCGGTCATCTCAAACAACAGCAAAACTATGCAAAGCATTTCAACCTTCCAGAGACCTTCAAATACCAACCAAGAATAAAACTCGTTCATGGCCAAAAGGCATGCAAGCCGGACCAAGATCCCGCCTCACAAACCACCAAGTCAAAGAGAATGGTACTCTTTTCGACGCTCAGCATGAGTTTGCCATGATCCTCGGTGCGTGCTGGTAGTTACCTTGACCTATACCTACTTGACCCTGCATGTGATCCTTCTGATATCTGATCACTCATGTGTTTTTCATTTATGATTGGCTGACAACTGGTATAATCTACGAGTCTTCGAAGTGACATCGGCCGGTTATGGTCGTTGTGAACAGATCATCATTTTGTTCAGCCACCAACCCTATGTCTTTCTCCGAGGATATTCTGAAGATGTCGATAACTGTTGTGGGTGATAAGATTATACCCCAGCACCAGCAGTGTCCATGTGAATATCAACTCATGAGACTGACCCAGTGTTTTTGCTCTCTCATTCAGATCTTGGCCAGTTCAAAAAGTCATACAAATCTCTTTGCAACCTTCAAAGCCCCACAGGTTGTGGCAATGCAACCACTTAGAGGTTGATCGACGTCAAACATTGCAATCCTCCCGACTCTCTATCTCTCTCCCTCGACCCCACCGCAACCTCTCTCCATTCCGATGTCTTTGGTCTCTGGGCCATGCCGATCATCCTGCACTTCTTGGGCGCCTGCTTGCTCGCTCGGTCATTTCATCATGAACGGTTGGGGCGGGAAGGAAGCAATGACTACCCTGAACATGCAATGATATTGACTGACTGAAGGAGGAGGTTTGTGTATTGTTGGATCACGATTAGTAAGGCGGTCGTCAAGAAAGCAACATTGGTTCAAGAACTACAGTCCACCAGGTTCGTTGAATAGGTTTATAATATTATATATATATATTCTATTTATTCTTCTTTGGGTCCTAATTTCTGCTATCTGAAAACTACGTGGAGATTGATTCCTTCTCAGTCCTGTCCAGCTGCACGCAGCAAGCAGCACAACAACAACCACAACAACAACAAACCACCAACAAACACGTTTTTCCCCGGCGAAAATTAACACATCCTTTCCTGAGTTCTTATGAGGTCTTAATACTACAAAGCCAATGGCTGGCTTGCTGAGATCCCTTTACCTATATAGCTCCTGAGGCCAATGGTGGTGATAGTGATGGTGACTCACATAAAAAAGCAACAAACAAAACACAAAGACAAACAAACATAAACAAACCATTCAAACCATGAAAACCACAAAACAACAAACACGTGACGATTGTGACTCCGAGGCTGCGGATGAAGCTAGGTACTAAAGCTATAGTAAGTAAGCTGAAGGCTTTTCTTGAGCCGAAGAACCTGAGAAAAGAAACTGAATACAATCTATGAAAGGAACATTTTATAATACAATCAATTGCAAAAGGAATTATCCCAGGAATTCAGATGTGTTTTGGTTGTAGGTTTATTAAAGATGACCCCGCATTTTGCAAATGATGATCCCACATTACAAGGATCACCTGTGAACTTCAAGCAGGATCAAACATAGATCAGGAATAACCTCGTCTGAACTGGTTGGAGCCGGCTACAAGAGACCTTTCAACCGGAGCTGGCAGCTTGAAGGCGTATGGCTTTGGAATCCCACACAAAAATGGGCGTGGACTAGGTCGAGGTACAAAACATCTGCATCTGCGAGCAAGTGAGACACATCCTATGTTCTGAAAGCAATCAATTTCGCTGACACTCATATTTCAGCAGTGTCAGGCAGCCTCGCTGTATCAAAAAGGGATCCCAAATTGCTATCTAAACCCGCATTCTAAAACGTCAACCACTCCGGTCGCCTGAAAGAAATTCGACCACTGGGTCTTCCGGACATGATTCCGACCACTCCGGTCGGGTCGCCTGATATCCACGGTCCGGACAGCTGGTGGGCAACTTGGGCAACTCTTTGTCCAGTGCCTGGACCGCCCGGTGCCGATTTCGGCGGGGCGATGTGATGAAGGAACAAGACAAAGACCAGGTGTGCGTTTAGATCCTGGTGCTGGCTCTGAAAAACACATGTTTCAAGATGATTGGGAAAACATGAGGATCCAGGATGTTTGGCAGATGTTTTCACGAAATGGTCGACTAAAATCATTTCAATCCTAGAACACGTGTGATGATTTCTCCAAGGCAGGGCACTGCACGTCACTTCTTCATGTGTGTGTGTGTGTCCATCCTTAAGCTTAACAATCCTCTTGTAATTGCTCTGCTAGTCATCTATTGATTTGCCAGTGGGATGTGAGCACGCATTTTGGCCAATAAAGGCAGCAGCAAAACAGGATTGGAACGAAAAAGCTCCAAGTCTTCTGGACCTTTAAAGAAACACATAGAACCCCTAAAAACGACAAGTAGAACAAGTAGATCTCTACCATGGTTCCAAAAGGATATCTCTTTTAGGCACCCTGCCACTCCGCACCACTCGGACCATCGGTGCCACGGACCGTGCGCGGGACGTGCCTCGATGGCCCAAATCTTGTCGCCGCGATGCGGGCCTTCGATGAGCTTCTGCATCAGCTCCTTTTCGCCAGCGGAAGAGACCGCCGGTATCCGAATGGTTCTAGACTCTAGAACCGCTCTGCTGAAGGCGGTGAAAAGAGGCTAGAAACGCTTCCGAAGCGAGAAAGGTTGGGAGGAAAAAAACACAAAAGGACAAGCGGCGATCAATTAGGCATCGATTGTTAAAGTGGATTTAAGATCATCTGAATCTGGGGATACCAAATTAAAATAGTCTGAGTTGGTGGCCAACGCAATCCACGAGACCATAGGAGACCACATCTAAATGAACTCTGGTAAAGTCACTTCATCTCGCTTCAGCTCCACTTCAGCTCTACTTCAGCTCGCTTCATCTTCGTCTTTAGATGCGTCACAAAGACGCACAAAGAACATCTTGTTGAGATTTGCACAAGATGAAGCTGACTGATGCTCACCTGGACAGGTTTGAGGTTTGGGGTTGAGATTGGGTCTTGGCCCACATACTGTCTTCATTTTGACCTCTCTGCCTCTCTCCTCGTATTTCTTGAGAACTTTCTTCTTGTCTTCCACGGCGCACCTTGGCTGGGTCAAAACCACCTGGTTGACTCGACCCACCAAAATGACTCTGACCTGGTTGTCCAAGCGGCTCTTTCTTGGCTGTCTTTGGGCAAACCTATCCCAGACCTTGATGCCAAATCCTTATAAACATGTGTGAGCTATTGTGAGCTCATGTCATCGAAAATGGCCGCAAACAACAGATTCTTAATGATTATAATGGAAAGGACTAACAGGGTTGTCACATGTATTATAGTTCACATCGGCAATTCCTTGTCCTCTGCTTGGCCTCTGTTTCACAAGAAGGTTCCTTGGACAAACAAGAAGTTGCCTCTGCGCTTCCGCAGGCAAGGAACTCCCAGCGTTTGCCGGTCCACACAGCCCCGTAGAAGCAAGGGGCCACAATGTGACACTCATCCTCAGCGCGAAGCGCTACACTCGCGACGACTCGCTCGGGACGTCTCCGCTGAAGGAATCGCACTCAGATTCAAACCGATCAAAAAGCGAACTGCACGAACTTCGGCAAACAAATCAAACACAACCGCAATGGTCAAATCCACGGCTTTGGGGGTTCTCAACCAGGCCTTCTGTCTTTCGATGCCCAGTCGCATCAGGATATTTATATACGCCCTGGAAGATTAACATGGAACCTGAGAACCACTGGTTGTAGAGGAATATCGTCTTCCAAAGGTCCCTGCCATCAGTTTCCATGTAGTGTGGCTCTCCTCCCGCGTTTTCACACCGGGCCTGGCCAAGATTCTCAACCCCTCACAGCTTCTCGCTTCGCTTCGAGTTCCCCCACGAAGAGCTCCGTCTTTTTCACCGCCAAGCGGTCTTTGCAATACCAACCCGGCCCCAGAAACTCGGAGCCCTGGCGCCGGCGGACGATGGAGGGGGGGAACAGTGGAGGCCCTTTTTGGGGTGTAAGAAATGGTGCCGAAAAATAGATGTGGAGCAGAGTCCTAGCGGTGACCGGCGTGTTCATTTTCAAGGTGCATGTTCATCTGCAGGGGCATGATCATCTGATCATCTGTATCCTGATCTAGAATGATCTAGACCATGCAAGCAAGTTGCAAGCTGTTTATAGAATAGCTTTGGCATAGTGTCTCAGTCTACATTTCAGGGCCCTGGGGATGCTCCCGTTTGCTGCTAAATGATTAAATAGTTTAAATGACCTGGTTTTCCAGAGCTCTTGCTGTTGGAATCGGAGCAAAGAACAAGATGGAGCCCACGAACCCGAATGCAAACACGTTCAAAAAGCTACATATGTCCAAATGACACTCTTGTAGGACACTCTTGTGGGTCACTCTTGTAGGACACTCTTGTGGGACATGCGGGACACTCTTGTGGGACACTCATACGGGACACTCTTGTGGGACACTCTTGTGGGACACTGTTGTAGGAAGCTCTTGTGGGACACTATTGTAGGACACTCTTGTGGGACACTCTTACGGGACACTCTTGTGGGACACTCTTGTGGGACACTCTTGTGGGACACTCTTGTGGGACACTCTAGTAGGAAACTCTTGTGGGACACTCTTGTCGGACACTCTTGTGGGATACTCCTGTAGGACACTCTTGTGGGACACTCTTGCGGGGCTCTTGTGGGACACTCTTGTAGGACACTCTTGTGGGACACTGTTGCGGGACGTGGGACACTCTTGTGGGACACTCCTGTAGGACACTCTTGTGGGATACTCTTGTGGGACACTCTTGTGGGACACTCCTGTAGGACACTCTTGTGGGATACTCTTGTGGGACACTCTTGTGGGACACACTCTTGTGGGACACTGTTGCGGGACACTCTTGTGGGACACTCTTAAGGGACACTCTTGTGAGACACTCTTGCGGGACACTGTTGCGGGACACTCTTGTGGGACACTCCTGTGGGACACTCATTTGGGACACTCTTGCGGGACACTCTTGTGGGACACTCTTGTGGGACACTCTTAAGGGACACTCTTGTGAGACACTCTTGCGGGACACTGTTGCGGGACACTCTTGTGGGACACTCCTGTGGGACACTCATTTGGGACACTCTTGCGGGACACTCTTGCGGGACACTCTTGTAGGACACTCTTGTGGGACACTCTTGTGGGACACTCTTATAGGACACTCTTGTAGGAAACCCTTGTGGGATACTCTTGTAGGACACTCTTGTGGGACACTCTTGTAGGACACTCTTGTGGGACACTCTTGTAGGGCACTCTTGTCCGACACTCTTGTGGGACACTCTTATAGGACACTCTTGTGGGACACTCTTAACTCTTGTGAGACACTCTTGTGGGACATGGTTGCGGTCTTGTAGGACACTCTTGTGGGACACTCTTACGGGACACTCTTGTTGCACACTCTTGTAGGACACTCTTGTGGGTCACTCATATGGGACACTCTTGTCGGACACTCTTGTGGGACACACTTGTGGGACACTCTTGTGGGACACTCATACGGGACACTCTTGTGGGACACTCTTGTAGGACACTCTTGTGGGACATGCGGGACACTCTTGTGGGACACTCTTGTGGGACACTCATACGGGACACTCTTGTAAGACACTCTTGTGGGACACTCTTGTCTTGGACACTCTTGTGGGACACTCTTGTAGGACACTCTGGTGCACACTCTTGTGGGACACTCTTGTGGGACACTCTTGTAGGAAACTCTTGTGGGATACTCTTGTAGGACACTCTTGTGGGACACTCTTGTAGGACACTCTTGTGGGACACTCCTGTATAGGGCACACTCTTCGTACGAGACTTCCTCCAAAAGTCACGCTGCGAGGCTGCAAGACGAGCGTTTCGTACGAGACTTCCTCCAAAAGTCACACGTCAAGTCTCAAAAACGAGCGTTTCTTACGAGACTTCCTCCAAAAGTCACACGTCAAGTCTCCAAAACGAGCGTTTCGTACGAGACTTCCTCCAAAAGTCACATGTCAAGTCCCCAAAACGAGCGTTTCGTACGAGACTTCCTCAAAAACTCACATGTCAAAGTCTGCAAAACGAACGTTTCGCACGAGACTTCCTCCAAAAGTCCAGCGGAAACACCCATCGGAGCACACACATCACGCAGCCCTGCCAAGCAGTTTCGCGAGTCCAGCCCCTCCAAACGACACCCGCTCACACGCCAATCCCAATGCGACAGCGACATTCACCTCTACCACAACTCACAACCTCCCGATTCCCTGCCCCTGCCACGAATCTTTCCGCGTCCACACGTCTAACGCGCACAAAGTACTGTGCCTGCCACGAAATGTCACCTCCGTCACACCTCGCAACCTCACGATTCCCTGCGCCTGCCACGAAAATCCCACTTCCACACCTCAAAACCCGCACAAAGTCCTGCGCCTGCCACGAAAAGTAACAATGTCATCTCATGTGAGCTTCAACAAAATTTGCACCACACCACACGTTTGGAATGATTTCGACCCGTTCTGAGCACACTCCCATCCACCAAAATCGGCATTTCAGCTGAGACTTATCACGAAAACAGAGCTTCGATGCCACACCCTGCAACGCAAATCCCAATGGCACGGCCACATCCAACACCCCAAAAACACGACTCTCCAAACGCTAATCCCAATGGAACTACGCAGCAATCTGCAGATCTCACAAAACGCTGCGCCTGTGCAGCGAAATGCATCACGCTTCTTGCGCCACATGTCATTTTCATGCAAATCACAATGGAATAGCGGCGCAAACTGACACGTGACACATCCATGAAAAGTCACTTGCAAAAGCTTCCCCCAATGGCAGCGCCTTAGCGTCCTACTGCGAACGGTTGCGAACGGTTGCGAACGGTTGCGAACGGTTGCGGACGGTTGCGAACATAGAAACAACGGATCGCGAACAAGACTCTACCCCCAGACCCCCAAGAGTTAAACGAGAACCCTTCGCTACGCATTCGGGAAAAACATACAAAGAAGTTCCTGGATATCCATGGACAGCCTATAAGATCAAAGTTGATGGAAACCAGTCCACAGTCCACTGAATGTTCTCCAGATCTTGCGCAACCAACTTCAAATGCAAAGTTGCAGCACCCAACGCGGTCCGCCGTCCGCATCTACACGGTCTGCCTACGGTTCAAAGTGCACAGCTTCGCACAACCATACACCCCCTCAGCCGACCCCCTAGAAAACATATTCCAGTCAAAACTAGTCCAAAAAGTTATTCACAAAGGCCACATGGGCCTTAGGAATAAATAAACAAGGCGCCGCCCATGAAAACCCCTCATCTCTTTCTCATTGAATCTCCAAGCTGTCATCATTCTCCAGTGGCATCCACCACCCGCTTCAGCTTCTCGCAACAACTCCACCCCATCCTACTCATCCCACTCATTCCCCCGCCCCAACCCACGCCAACGACAAAGAGGTCGGTCAGTCAGGGCGCCCCGGCAGGGAACCAAATGACTCCTTTGTAGCAAGGCCCCTTGATGAAGCATGGATCGAAGAGCGTGAGCTCCCGTAGTTCTCCTGGAAAACATGCCAAACAAAAAGGTCAAGCAGGGTGCACTCCCGGCAAACCCTCAAGCTCCGGGTGAACAGGAGGGGACAGAACTTCCAACCCCAGCCGTGGAACCGGAACTTTGTCATCCTTGACCGCTCCTTGACTCGCGACGCTGGCTGAGCTGCTCGAAAACGCGAGCCGACCTCGGTTGTTCCGTTCGGTTTGGACCGAATGTCGGGGGAAAGCAGCGAAGCGAGCAGCGGAGACCTGATCGAAAACAGGATCGCTTAAGCGATGCTAAGCAGGATCCAACTTTGTGACCGGCATGGCCCACAACCCTATCTCTCTCTGTCTCTATCTCGGTCTATCTCTCCTGCCTAGACTTGAACAAACAAACGATGCCTTTGACCGCTACGTTTCAAGAAGACTCTATGACTGCGACAGTTCAACCTGCCAGAACTACACAAATGCATGTATGGCCATGTATGGGTTTGAATCGTTAGACCAAGTACATTGTCACCAGTTCAAGTGCAAGCAGTGCGCAAGCTATTGTTCCTTGTCCCACAATACTGGTACAAGTCAAGCATTTGGAGAGAAGGTACTAAAATCACGCTCTCTATCTCTCTCTCCCTCCCTCCCTCCCTCCCTCCTTCCCTCTTTCTTTTTCGCTCTGTTGTCGGCTCTCCCTCTGCTCACGATCAATCTCTGCGGATTTTCAGGATGATGCTTCGAACTGCAGCAGGCGAGAAGTACTGACGTACATACTAACTAGGAGGCACCACAGCATCTGATACACTCCAACATGCGACTTCACATGAATGCCCACCCAACACCTTCCACTCATGGCTCCATCCCTCGCCCATCTCATGGCTGCGCTCACAGGTTCTTGGCATCGATGAGAGTGAGCAAATCCATGCCAGCCTGACTTGGGGAGGACCACGAGTTTCTCCGGACTTGAAGCAGCTGGTCACGCTCTGCTGGACAGCTGGACACGCCGAGATGTTGAAGAAGTGTTCTCCTGCCCATTCATGGGCAGAAGACATCTTTGTACAGGATTTGCTCTCGCGCCGTCGCGACAGTTTCCATGGTGGGGACATGAGGATGTGGCAAGCTGACCGGTGTTCCTATATTGTTTAGTCCTGCAAACTTACATGGAACCTGATGGGGTTCCATGTTAATCTGCAGGGGAGTACATCTATTTTGGTGTGTCTTCATAAAGGGCCACAGGATTCCTACAGTCAAGGACTTTCGGCGTTGATCAGGGCAAGAACAGCTTCAGTTGCTTAGTGAACTTCAAGCGTGGGACTTGTACTGACTTCAAGGTCGTTCTGATTCTGCACTCTTTCACACAAGTTTCATCTCCAAGTGGTTCAGTCCAACACGTGCAGTGCCTCAAGCAAGTCCAGGTTGCACTGGCGGAGTGCCAAGATCCATTCCTCAACATCCGAAGTGAGAGGGAACAAAGGAAGTGAAGGATCATATGATTCCCTCACTGGCACGAAGAACCTATGGACACTCCTATGGATGCCTTGCACCCTAGACTACTAGAGGCTAAGGAATGTGAAGGATCCTGTGGGATGGATGCCTTGCACCCTAGAGGCGCAACGGGAGCCACCATCGAAAAGGCGCCTGTGGCCCACGTGGAATGATGAGGATGGCCGGAGCAGGCCTTGTGATAAAAGACAAAATCCCAGGACACACACACAATGCCGGGAATAATGCCGGGTTTCCAAGATCACAGGTGTCAAACACACCCTTTGGAGTAGCGTAGTTGAGGGTAGTGTCGGGTGGTCCATTGCTCACTCATGGTCCTGGTACATAGTCTTGTTTCAGCATACTCACAACTTCCGGGAAAAATGTCGGAGCCAAATCCATTTGCTGACTGTTGTGCCTATCGGTGAAGGGGCTCTCCCGGATCTCCAGATTCATCAACCCTTGAGCCCTTGAGCTTTTTTTTTGGTGGTCAGATAGTATACCAAGTCTAAGTGTACATTCAATTCCCTAGACCATCCATGTATGGCATATTTAATGACATTGACCCCTTTTCAACCACCCCAATGTAGGTCAATATGCCAGTCCCATGGATGGTCTGCGACCTTCTGAGGCCCCTGACCCACATGAGCATCTGCACGTTTTCCGGGAGTCCAGAGCTTCGTGTCCGGATTTCCACCTCCCAAGAGAAAGGGAAAGGTCCAGAGCGAAAAAGAAGGAAGCCAAGACCAAGAAGCGAAGCCAAGAAAGAAAGCACATTCATCCTCAAAGACGCAAAGACGCTGAAGCGTTTTAGACTCAAAAGACAGTGTCGAGATGAATTTCGGATTGAACTGTCCTGCAAAAAGATCTTTGTCCACTAGTTAGTCGAGTTCTGCTTTGGGAAGTGCACACTCCTCGGGCAAATATAGGCTCCAAAAATGATCAAACATGATCTGTCTGAGGTTTTGTGGACAGGATGTTACATGTTATATAATCTATCCCGACTCAACAAAGGGTAAAGGCTGAGGCAAACATTCTGGACATGTACAAAGAATTTCAACTACCACGAACCCATCACCCAATCCAATATGAGCTTCAAATAACACCGAAGTGCGGTGCTTGGGTGGGTCCCACGATGTCCCAACCCTAAACGCCCACTTCTTCACCGACATCGTTCTCCCCACCACTTAAACCACTTGAACCCTATCTCCACCTTCTCGCCCCCTTTCAGTCTCCCTGCCCGGACGTCCCTTTCCGACTCCAAACGACTCCGAAACGTGTCTGGGATCCCCCGACTCCATCCATGACCACCTTTCCTTCCCGATTGGGACGCGCAGCTTCTGCGCCCATGAGCCATCGAAGCTCATCCTCCTGGGTTCACCCGGACGGTCTTCAGCGCCGAACCCGGTTTTGGCATGTGGAAAACACATGTGATGTGTTTGCTATAGTTACCGTGTTTTTCCACATCCCCCGATACCATCCCCGATATTCCCCGATAACGTTCGACCCCCGTGATCAACCCCCCTCCAAAATAGAGCAATTCTTCCAATATCAAGCGCCACTAGACCTTATTAAGCCTTACTACCATAAGGCTTATTAGTACTTAGAATAGCTCCAAACAAAACGTTGTTTTTACCTTGACGCAGTAAATTAAGCTATTTTAGAGGGCTTTGCATTTCCACACAAATTTGTCATTGACTGTTTTGACCTGTTGCCTACGGAATTGCTGATCTGCAATATCTACCATTCAATGTGATTGGATTGATGATGGATCAGCCATTTTTGCGGGTCGTTGACATGCCATGAATCTGCATCCAAAGCATATTGCATTGGTGGAAGCACAAAAACCGCTGGAACACGTTTTTCTGCACAGGCGCAGGTCCGTAGACTACCCCCCATGAAGAATGAGGTGAAAATAGGCCTTAATAAGGCTAATTAAGGCCTTATGAGGCCTTGTTAAGCCTCAATAAGGCTAATTTTTTGGCACTGTGTGCGAACCCCAAAATAGCGGATGTAGCTGATGCAATTGAACGAGATCACCAACAATGACAAGTGAAGCATTCCATCTTGGTGCAAATGTAAACGGTACTAGTTGTGCAGTGCGCTCAATTTGAGGCAAAGCTGCTCAAGGGGTGTGTTTTCAAAAATATCAATTATACATCTTGAGCTTTGACACTGCGATCATAATTCAAACACTTCCTTGCACACGCTTTGCATCAATAGCAAGCAAGTCACAGAATTGTTCACCATTCGGGCAGCCATGTTTATGTTTGTTTTTTTCGGTGGGTGGAGAGGGGGCTTGTTTGTTACCGGTGATGCAAGGTCCTCTCTGCTCTCAGATTAGGAGCAAGGACGCTACGATCGGGGCTCCTGGCCTTACTACGAACGGAGCAATGGGCATCGTTACGAACGGAGCAACGAACGGGCATCGCGACTCGAACGGAGCGATCGGACGCTTCCCTCCCATCGTCTCCTCGATCAAGCGGCGCACGCCGGCGACCTGAGACCGGGATCAGTACATCATGGAACCTGATCTGACCAAGTGTAGACGTCATGATCTTCCAAATAAAATCGTACTGTATATAGTAAACTATATCATTTATATATTTATAATATATAACAATATAAAATATTACTAATATGGTCTATAACAAGGTGAATCTTGCTCAAAGGTGTATGCGGAGGTCATCTCCAAGTTCGACCAGGCCTGACCTGCCGTACCAATCTCACACATCCCACGGGTTTCTGTCGGTGTTCTCCCTCGAGCGCCCAGCGTTCAGCTCCAAGTTGGGAATCTTCCAGGGTTTCACCTGGTGACCATGTGAGCCTACCATGAGAAGTATCATGAAGTATATAAAAGGTGTTCAACCCGCCAATGTTGGCCCCATCCTGACATGAAATCTGGAAGGAAGTTGGCCCACTTCAGGCGACACATACTCCAACAATGTGACCTTTGCTGTTCATGTGCAGTGATCATGAAGATCTGTGTTGTCCTTATCCAGTTTTTGATCAGTTTACTAAAACTGGATGTTGACAAGCAGTGGCGTTCGTTTTTGCGGTGTGGTGTTTCTCTGGTTGTTAGCCATGGGTCATGGGGACCATCTAGCTTGCATCGCCGAAACGGTCACTGACCGGAGGATCGGCTGTGGGGCACGGGATCCCAATGGACCATGAACCAACGACTCCTGGCCAAACGAACCGAAAAACCGAGCGTTCGCGGACGCGAACGGAACTAAGAAGCTATCTTCACGGGGCTCGTTGGCAACCAGGTCAACCAGCGGATTTGGAGCTCGTCACAGCGGTCTTCACAGGTCGATCTAGGTGGATCGGTCCTTGGTCGATCCGGGCCGATCCGACCGATCCGCCTTTGGGCCACTATAGTGGGCCACCACGACATCCTGCAAGACCTCAGCTTGCAGACGGTCACACCCGACCAGTCACGAGTAGAGGGAAATCATCTCTGGTCCATGTTTGGGTGTCATTGATCTTCAGAAAATGATCATAGAATCTAGATGGGGAGACCAGTCCTACCAGTCGTCTGTCCCTGTGTAGACTTGTGGAGACCATACCCCACCAAGCCCAAAGGAACTGATGAATTTGAGGAATGTTGGCACAACAGAACGATCAACACGTGTAATAGTTCTAAAACGTACAACAATAATAGTAGCATTGCTCAACAAAGTTACAGCAAAGGACATCCAAGAAAGGCTCACACAATGCATCCATATAAGATTCAACTCAACAAATGATCATGCTGCACAATCTCTTGACAATCCCCCTTGGACGTCAAACTATGTCAAATGTTCAACTTTCAGATTCCTGGATCGTCCAACTTGCATGGACTCCAACCAGTGTGTCACCCAACTTGTGATCTCAATTAAGAATGGGCTCAAGAATGGGCTCAATATGTAGACTGCAAGGAACGTCCCAAATCATCAAGGACCCATACACCTGTCCCCTCCCGTTGCAGGCACTCTACCTTGAGTCAACAATGTCGTCTACCATCGCCGACCACCGCGCGGTCTGAACGCATGCAGGACACGTCAATGTTGCGATGAGCCGTGCTCACCTCAGAGCGTTCGGAACGACCGTTTCTATATAAACGTATACAGAAATTTTAAAAGCATGGTAACAGCGCCTGTAAAGGCCGTGCGTTTGTGGCGTTGTTGGACCGAGAGTGTTGTTTGGGATGAGTGAAAGTGCGGAAAAGCTTGCTCGGAATGCGAACACTTTCGGATATATAAGTATATACACTGTTTTCCCGTATGACATTTGCGTTATCAAGTATGTTTGCAAGTACAAGTGACGTCAATAGATCAAGTGACATCCAAGCCATGAAAGCATGGCCCCCTAGGGGCAGGTCTTGCCACTCTGAGAATCTGAGCTACAAGTCGTACTGCATTCAAGCTCTATAACCTTGTGTTGGGCAGTGGCAGCCATACATGACCAACCATCAAACAATTTTTTTTCACAAAAAAGCGAACAAAACAGCAAATGAACATGCAAAGCAGCGCAATTTGCTTTGTTTTTGCTTTTGTTTTGTTTTCTGTTGCTTTTTTCCTGGTATCACTTCTGCACTTATGAGAACTTTTACTCGTCAGCAATATGTGCTGTACCTAGAAAAAACGAAAAAAACAAAAAAGCGAAACAACTGCGAACATAAAGCGAACAAAATGCGAAAATACAGCGAACAAAAAAGAGTGAAAAAAAGCGACAAATACGCACAGCTACATTTTTTGCTTTTTTGTATCTATGGCTGGCGTGCCCGACATAACTCTAACCATTTAACTGTTAAGTGAGGCAGCAGTCGATTGCATTGGATCCGGCTCAAGGAAAATCACTCGCCCCTCCATGCTATGCATATTTATGCGAGCGACGTGCAATTTGTGCAAATTGAGTTTCACCATGAGCCACATGGGCAGGGCCTGAAGTGTTTGTCCTTGCATTTCCACTGTTTCCACTTCACCTTACCGACTACAATCTTGAACTGAACTGCACTGAGCCCCAACACTGCTCTCCAAATCTGAGTCCAACAAAGCTAAACTTTATTCATCTGTGCACCTCCTGCAGCATCGAACAAATCCCAAATATATGCAACACATGACCAAACGCAACTGAGCTTTGGGAGCTCGCAAAAGAAACACTGCCATACCTTCCAAGTCACATAGTCATCAGGAAGATTTGGTTGGTAATTGAACCTCAGGCAGTCTGCCAAGCAAGGGAGTTTGAACATCCACCATGAATCATCTAGTTTGTCTGGCATGTTCTGCTGAGCAATTACACCCGGGAACTGACATGAATCTTTCTTTCTTACAAATCATCCACACGTCATGATCCAACATATTCCACAAAAGAAAAGCAATCCCATCCCTCCCCACTTGTCCAGTCTGCCTGGGTGGCCCACCTGGCATGCAAATGTGTCCAGGCGCCCCATGCGAAGGTTCCATAGAAGCGACCCAAGTAGTCCTGCCTCGGGAGATGCTGGGATATACGGAGATCCAGACAGGGATGGTTTTGAAGAACATGTCTAAACTTTGAGTCCTGAATCATCCTACTATACTAGCTAGTCACCTAGCTGGAGTTGTAGTGACTGGTGAGAGATCTTGAATAGGAACTGACCCTTGGAAGTTGACTGACTCTTGGAGTCTTGGAAGTGTTTCTTCCCACTGCTGATTTCAGAGCATGCTGCCAAAGCACTCGGGCCCAAAGGTCTTGATATGCTCAGGATGCCGAGGGTCCTCGACATGCGAGAAATGTGCCACCTTCCCAACCATCACAGCAGTCATAACAGATTTGATGAACAAAGTCTCATGACAATGCCCCCAACATATCAATCGGCAGCTGCATAACACATATTGTATCCAATTACAGCAGGATCAACACAAACGACAAATTATGGAAGGTTGGTGCCAGTGGCGGTAAACTATGAGATAACGGAAACGGAGGTAATTGTAGCAACAAAATACTTTGAACAAAGGCAGGAACTAAATATTGCAAAAATCCTAGAACAGGACGTTTCGACATCAGGCTTCTGTGGATGGCACATCAGCAGTTCCTTCCGAGAATCTTGGCCTCAACCCGGCCTGAACCCCGGCCTCTAGGCGCCCCTTCCAACTACCCTGCTCCACTCAGAAGACCGACACTCAAAAAGTCTCCTTCACTCACAGACTTGCGGGAGGGGTCTCCTCCACTCCAGGCAGGTCTTGCCAGACAGGAGACCCGAACCGGCGAATCGCCATCTCTCCGCCCGGAACGGGCGTTTGGACGGCGAATTGGTGCCTGAATTTCACGGAGCATCCGGTGGTAGACGTCCATGTTGGGCTCCAAGAGCATGACCTTGGTGGAACCGGCCTCAAAGCCCAAAGAACGGGCCAGCAAAGTGGTCAGGGTTGTGTTTTGGGGTTGTTTGATTTTTCTCCGTCAGCACAAGCATAAGGCCAAATCGATCTGCACCTGTTTCAGCAAAACAGAATGACACTGAATGAAGGTCTCGGCAACTTGAGGGATGGACGAACGACACAAACGGTGTGAAAACTAGACCGTGAGTTTAAATTGATATGAAAACCAAGAAAATGCTCAATTGATATTTTGATATTGTCTATGATTGGTACGTGCAATCTCCACCAATGGTAATCCATTATAATCCTTATATAGAGCTCAACATGCAGGAGAGTCCAAGGCCAATCGTCTATGATTCAATGATGGAGATTTATCGCATTCCAGAGACCCAAAGACCGAAACCGGACCGCTGTTTGGACATCGGGTCCAGAATCATCGCTGACTTTGATCTGACCAAACGCTAAAGTTGCCATGAGCTTCTCAAGGTCACTCAGTGTCAAACACCTGCGTTGATGCCATACATGTCGTCCTTAGCGATCACACACTCATAGAGAGTCACGGTCCACGCAGGGTGGCTTTGGCTTCTTCGGGGTGATTGACATCGCCAAAGACATTTTTGGAACAGAAATCTGAAGTTAAACTCGTCCGTAGAACCTGGTGACTTGACTTAGGTGTTTCACATCTTCCATCAACCAACGAGCGAGTCGAGGAGTCGAGCAGAGCCGGGTATGGCTTTGAGGCTCCGGCTGCATGCCGGGTATAATAGTCCTTGTACCAGCGATTTCGGATTATCGTTTAGCGTGGTGAGTCCTGGACATCAACATATGTTTGGCAATGTTTGGACAAACAACAGTTTCAAAGGACGGAGGGGCCCTTCATTAATACCAATCTCCCCGATCTCACACTACATCACGAGGTATAGCCGGCATAGCCAAATACTCTGCATGGAGTTGGCAGAGTGTCTGCTGGTTTGCAACCCCAAACACAGCGATGAACATTCGGCAAGTCTGAAATCTACTCACCATATTTGAGAAAACTATATACATGCATCACATCATACCATAATGCCCAGTTGTAGATATGGCGCGTCGATGCACAACATCTGGTCAGTCCAGAAAATCCTGGCCCCAAAACAGGATAAGTCAGCATCGCCTAGAAGAGTCCGACCTTCATTCATCAAATTACATGGAACACCCCCTCAAATGCTCTGGACAGAAGCCCATCTTCCTCGGCAAAGAAGTCGCCGCCATGTTCCGGCTGCTCCCGGCCTGGAAAAATGAGATGGATCAAGAATGTGCTGAACGAAGCACCTTTTAACATGATCCCTTTTTTGTCTAGTAGCGATGGCCTCCAACCTAATAGTAGCATGCGTCCGCAAAACAATCCTTGTATCGCCTGGGTACCACTTTCGCACGAAGAAATGGAATTCGTCCGGCATCAAGTAGCATGATAATCCCAGTCCACACAGCAGTGTAATGCCAAGCATTTGACAAGCACTCCAATCTTTCACACAATCTCTGGTCTCCATAGCTTGTAGAATGGTGGGTGAATATCCCTCATCATCATTTGTCATCGATCATAGAAACATATAGAAACTATACTTGACTGCACATTCAGCATCTCAAAGCCTAGTAGCGTCCTCTTGTTCCTAGTAGTAAGGCCAGGAGCGCCCCGTTCGTAGCGTCCTTGCTGCGAACTTAGCCTATGCCCTTTGCTCCTAGTAGCATCTCAAAGCCCTTCTCCCAAATCCCAAGCCCTCATCGACCGAGGCGGCGCCTGAAGATCTCTTCAGCGCCGCCGGGGCGCCTCGACCGAGCCGGACCGGCTGAATTCTTCCGCTCGGACCGGCGGCTAAGCACGGCCGAATCAGTGGATCAAGTGTGAACGTCGGATTTTGAATGGTCCACTGAATGGTTTCCGGTCCGTGTTTTCCGAACAAAAGCTGCACATCAAAGCTACTCCGCTACTCGGATGGCAGCTCGCTTCGGATGGCTGGGTAGCTGCACTTCTCGGGATCCTTTGGCTTCTCTGATCGACTCGTGGCTTCCACTCGACCCACTCGCGGACTGCTTGAAGTAGCACAATACATCACAATATCTGCTGTATGGCACAGCCATAGTCTACGTGCCCAACGCATGATCCCGCTTCCCGATCTTCAGGAGTGTTTGAATTGTTTCTTGTTGAAGCACTGATGTTGCAAGGTGTCAAGGTATGGTTCTCCAATGACCTGATGGACCCGCGGATGATTCTGAGTTCTTAGATCCAGGCGCAAGTGGAAGAGCTCATCCAGGTTGCCACGAACCAGCATGTCTAGGTCCATCATAAGAACCTAAGGATACCCGAGCTGTTTCTAATGATGGAGCAGCCAGGCCGGTGGCCAGCCACAAAACATGACATACTTGCATGACTTTGCTAATCTGTCCTCCTGAGACATTACAGTACCCTCTGGATCCCTCTGGTTGAATACCTTCGGAATGGCCATGCGTGCCAGGGTCCTGGGACAAGCCGTGGTCTGTTGATACCGTGAAAACCACTGTGATTTCACGCCACCCCAAAACCTCGCTCTGGCGTCGCAATGCTGGCTGGAGAGATGCGCCACTTTTCGCGTCGTGAGGCGCGACGTCTTTGACTCGAAAAAGGGTGAAGTCCTGTGAAGTCATCACAAAATAGCAAAAAATCATCACTCCCAGGAACGGAGTGTCACGAACGAGGAATATCTTCTTGCCAAACAACAAAACCTTCAATATCAAGATCGCCAGTAAGTGACTCATGTCAAGAAGTCTGCATTTCAAGTGCTCTGCTCCCCAAATGGAAATCAGCCCAAGCCACCGAAGCCTTCCGTCTGTGTGGCCATTCCCCAAACCACCCCAGTCTGGAGATGACCTTCGAGTACTCCGTGCAGGACAACGCCTGCAACTTGGTAAAGACATCCTCACCGGTGCTGGGCATATTTGTGTCCCATCGCACCCTCCCAAATTGCGTCTTGCTTAAGCAACAACATGCAACAACTATTCGGACACATGCGCACACTGTGTTGCCAACACAAGAGCACTTACTCCTTCTATGCAACACAGGAGCACTTAATCCTTCTATGAGTCCATGAGCCCCCTTTTAATGAGTTGTGACATCTTAAAAACAAAAAAAACGAGTCTCCTGGAAACGCGAGCCCTCGTGGTTCTTGTACATGGACTTGTCGCCATGGAGGTAGTCCACCTACCACGGTCGTCTACCGGATCAGGTGAACCGGGCGACGAGCCACAGGCTCGGCCAGCGGCAGCCCTTGGAGTGGTGGATCCGGGTGGAGGGAGTTGCATGGATGTAGACCTTGATCCAAAAAGAATCAAGCTGGAGGCCTTGAAAACAGCTGGAGCCCGAAATCAGAATGATGGGCAATCTTCAGGGTTGGGAGCAAGGGCTCCATCTCGACAGTGTTGGGCGAAGATTTTGTCAACAACACATAGGCACCACTGCACGGGTGTGGCCAAGCCACACTATCTTCAGTCATGCAGTGGCGGATAGTTTTTTTGCAAATCCTGACATATCCTGGAAGAGCTGCCTGCCGTCTTAGGGTCGGCCTCTTGCAGCTTCCAGTACTGCTGCAAAGCATCCAAGAAGGACTCGGGTACATCCTGCCGTCAATGAATGTCAATGAACATCCCAAAATGTGCTTGTTTTTTTCACTATGGTCTAGACGTCGGAATTGCCTCTCATGCTTCATTGGTACCAAGCAGCTGTCTATTCAATTATTCATCTCAGCAACCAGGCATGAACTTCGCTCCATCTCCCATCCGCCCCTTCAACTTGAACATCCAAGCCAGGTGCCAGACTTTGGTATGTAGCAGTAGCCTTTCTTCTTGACATCCTTTGTTCTGCAAAGACCAGCCTGCACCAGCATGACTTTTCGCCAGCAACTGCTCAGCCCAAAGTGTTTCTCACCACTTTCCGCACCAGTCATTGAACGCAAACCCGAAAAATAATGCGTCTGTCTTAAGAGGATTCCAATCAAACCCAAAGAACCACTAATTAGTAACATCATTAGATACTAGAAGACGTTTGCTCACCCTGTCAAACGATAAACCTCCAATCAATTGCCACAAAGCTAGAAGCCCACTATCACGTATGGTCCAAACCCGTGGCTATGGGTCAGTTGCCCCTCGAGTGTCTACTACTTTTCAACTACCTTTTTGTTTGATGCCCTTTCTACTTCCTTTGTGTTTTGGTATATATATATATGTAATTGAAAGGGGGCCCACACATCCGAGTGCGGCGCCAAGCACTAAGGCTCCGAGGAAGTATTCCACCTGGAGAGTCTCGTGGAAAACACGTGGATCGGACCATGTCAAGTATATAGACAAGGCCCGTATACAAACCGTCATCCACTGCAGAGAATCGGTTCAAAGAATAAAATGTAGTGCAGAAAGGGCACTAAAAAGCATTGCTAGGGCAGGGTTGCATAGCAGTTGCGATGATGCACATGATTATTGTTCGTAAAGGCCTCGAGCAAACACATTGAGAAAGTCGTACCAGTGTTGCGCCCAAACAACGTCCAAGCTGCCGCTTTTCACTTGGTGACAACACCAAACCCCCGACCTGGTCGCTGAAATCGATACTGCTTTCGGGCCCATGAAATGCAACCACCAAAAGGCAACAAAAAATGAGAAATAACTGAAATAACAAATAATAGTACACGGCAAAAGTAGCTTCTCGCTACTAATAATAAGACCACAAACCTCTGACTTCACTGGACCGAGGCAGACAAAGGACCGTGACATTTCTCTGAGACTGAGGCCCCATGTCCATAGAGTAGGGTGGCGTAAGCGAAGTGACCTTGCGAGAATGGCCACCCCCCAGCGATCTCAATACACCGTTACTTTTGATAGTCTCTGACTCATCAACAGGAAATTGGGAAAATTTGGGAGAAGCGCCCAACCAACAGGTTGGCGGTCGATTTCCCACACTGCCTCTATTCGTAGGCTCTCAGGCTTTAGTAGGCTTTGCTTTTGGACAGGTTGATCTGCATCTGCATGCGTCCATGTTGATCCCACTTCAAGTCATCCTGCGTCCTCGGGATAAAACACACATATATATATATATAGTGGCATTATGCAAACGCACGGAAGTTTTGCAGGCCTTCAGAGACTCCGTTGGCATGCACGGCAGGCATTTCTGTCGGCTGGCCATTCATCTGAGCTTGTCATGTGAACGAGGCGGACCCAAAACAGGCATTCGAGGGAGTTCGCCAAGAGGAACCATCGAGGCATTTGGGGAGATGATGAGAATTCACTCACTTCAAAACTGAGGATTTGTACAAACATAAAACAAACATCTTACATCGAAGGTTGTTTGGACATATAGCAGTCGTTCACACTGTTCAAGAGAAACTAGCTATGCAAAGGCACGATCCTATGGATTCTGATTCTAACTTCTCTCGATGACTTTGTTTTTTTCTAAAAGTTCACCTATGTGACAGCTCGGATAACAAAAGCCAATCCTTTGTCAAAAGATTACAATCACATAGACCATCCGAAGAGTGTCCAATGGAGGTCCTTAAGTAGTGTAGGGCAGCCCATTGGACACCCTTGGATGGTTCTGGATATGTATATATTATATAATATATAGTTAACTATTATATTGTTATTATATATTTAATATACACCCTAGAAGTCCAAACTGTATTTTGACCGACTGAAGTAAAAGACATTCCTTTTCGGGTCACCTAGAGACCAGTCTTTTTATAGTCTTAGACTCCCAGGGTTATAGTACATAGACATGTTGGCTAGCTCACGACCTCCGGCCATTTGTGCACTCTAAGGCCCCAAGCCAACTCAGCAGAAACCTGGCAGAACCGGGTTAAAAAGACTCTGAACGTTGGGAAGATGATGCCGAACCTTCTAACTGAATGTTGGGTTTGATCCGATTTCTTATGATTGCCATCATGGCACTACCTGACCTCCTTAAATCGGTCTATAGCAACGATGGCACATATAAGATGTCCGTGTTCTGTGTTGTGTGTGCTTCTCAGCATTACATGTTACACCTTAGATCTGTTCCAAGAAGTGATGCTATGCTACCTCCCACGGACTTTCCCATCGGCACACGCCCGTTCGTTTTCACTCACCTCGAGCTTCAGTGGAAGGCGACAGTGCCTTGGAGCCGGGTCCACGCCGGGGGAGTGTGCTGAGGCCCGGCAGCGGACGAGGCTTCGTGTGCGAGGAGACCTGGTGGTTGGGTCGGTTTGGGCCGGATGGGCATCAACAGTTGGAGAAGTACAAGACCTGTGGGTGTTGTGACTGTTTGATACCATACCAGCTGCAGGTAAACTTGTTGCTCCATTGAGGGCCTGTTGAGAGATCCTATATCCAACATCATTGGCATGATTGGCAGAACCAGGGATAAGTGTCGTCTTTTTGAGGGAGAAGACGTGCAACTGTCGGTGCATGTCACTTTGCTCGGACCATGAGGTGGACTTTAAGAGTCCGTGCTCTGCATGTTTTGGGGCCCAGCACACTACACACCCGAAGCTTTGACCAATGGTGGTGGTCTCTGCATGTCAAAACTCCGGCAAGTCGTCTGTGTGTAGGTCCTTGGTCTCCTGCACGCAGCTCGTAGACACCTGCCATCTGCCATCTGCTTCGAAAAGAACGACGTACCAATTTCACAAATGCCCAATGAAGGTATCTAGAAGGATACTAATTGGGTCTACCGTCTATCCCATTACCAGTAACAGGTTATTAAAGGCCTTTCTCCCAAATAGTGATGTTCTTGTTTACCGGTTGTTACAGGTAAGAAAGGACAAACCCAAGATGCCAATAAGTCAAAGCCAATGATTCATGGGCCTTCAAGGGATTTGTTGAACTTCTATAGAATGGTTTTTCTCCTGAAGCCAGTTTCTGTCACTCTCGTCCTAAGTCTTGCTTTGACGACTCTCCCCAAACAATAAAACTCTTTCAGAAAACCATGTGGCATCGACCAGGAAGCCTTTTTCGAACTTATTTAATTCCAGATCCTGGATATGGGATGATAAAGGATTATAAAGGCGCCAGATCACAACATTCAAATGCAAAGAATATCAAAGAATCAACTGTCCAACAAATCCTGTGCTAAATATTTAGACAATGCACATACTATAGGAGAGAAACAAACAACTTCAAGGACCCTTACACTGCCTCACCATCTCACTTCCCCCATTCGCCTCGCTGTTCAAGCGTCCAGCCTGCGTTTCTGCGCAGAATCGCGGAAAACTTCTCTTCGAAAACATGAGAGTGATGCTATATGGACAAAAATGATGAAACATGTGTGGTGTTTATGCGCTGGCACTTGTGTCCTTTTTCTTTCCACAGAGTGATTTCTATGGAAAAATGACCGTCAGGATCTGCTCGAAAAACATGAGACCACCCAACTGTGTGTGTGTGTCAAGCCCTGTTTCTAAGGGTCCACCGGTTCTCTCGCAGGGGGACGGGACACCACTGGCATCCCGTCCAACGAAGAGGATGCCAGTAGGTGCTGATGCAGTGGGGGACGCCCCACTGTGTACCTGTTCCAAACTGTTGACCACGCTGTGACCCTAATCTTCCTTGGTTTGCTTCCATGGTGGTTTACACGCTACTAAGGGCTCCTGGTGTCACTACTAACCCATTAGTTTCTCAACGCAGAAAAAAGAGGCAGGGGCGCGTTCTGCAGATGAGTAAACAGTTTGTTAAACAATTTCAGTTGCGCCGACCTTTTCACCTTGCGGTTCCATCACCTTCCTTCTCAACGTGGGAACTGAGTTAACTGCAAACCAATGTCAGAGTGTGAGCCGCTCAGCCGTCCCACTTGGGTGCTGGGTGTGATCCCCTTCACTGGGGCGCTGAATTCACGCTGGAGATCATTTTCTCCACTTTTATAACTGAATTCACTTTCTCCACTTGTATAACTGAATTAACTGTTTCTCGAGCCGCCGGGCTTTAAACGACGGAATACCATCAACTTACTTCACTTGCACCACCACGGAATACGGCTAAGTATTCACATGTCCTTGACATGCTGCTAAGTATTCACCTGTCCATGTCATGCTGCTAAGTATTCACAGGCCGGACGAATTTTTATCAGTCGTGCAGCTTCTTTTACGGCTAAGTATTCACATGTCCATGTCATGCTGCTAAGTATTCACAGGCCGGACGAATTAATCGTGCAGCTTCTTTTCCCCCCTCCCTGCCCCTGGGCCTCCTTTGCTATCCCACCCGCTACTCGAGCAACAGAAGGAAATCGCACTCAACACACTTGTGTGTCGGTGCCTTTCCTTCTGTTTCTCCTAGCTAGCTACCCGGGCGGTTTAAGACAAATGTGCCGCTCGCGAACTACTTTCATTTAACTAAGTGGGCCTCGTAACTACCCCTATCTTTCTTTCTTGCCCTCTTAGTCTGCTTTTGTTTTGTTTGCTTTGTCTGTCTTTCTAAGGCTTTTTAGGTGGCTAATAGTTTTTTGCAGCGCCAATATTGGCGCTTTCTGTACAAAAGTCCTCCGGGGAGTCAGGACGCTACTAGAGGCCCCTGGCCTCGCTACTCCTTTGTAAGCAAGGGAGAACGCGCCGAAAACGGCTTTGTGTGTGTGTGTCAAGCCCCGTTTCTAAGGGTCCACCGGTTCTCTCGCAGGGGGACGGGACACCACTGGCATCCCGTCCAACGAAGAGGATGCCAGTAGGTGCTGATGCAGTGGGGGACGCCCCACTGTGTACCTGTTCCAAACTGTTGACCACGCTGTGACCCTAATCTTCCTTGGTTTGCTTCCATGGTGGTTTACACGCTACTAAGGGCTCCTGGTATCACTACTAACCTATTAGTTTCTCAACGCAGAAAAAAGAGGCAGGGGCGCGTTCTGCAAATGAGTAAACAGTTTGTTAAACAATTTCAGTTGTGCCGACCTTTTCACCTTGCGGTTCCATCACCTTCCTTCTCAACGTGGGAACTGAGTTAACTGCAAACCAATGTCACCAGAGTGTGTGTGTTTTTGTAGGAGCGCCTTTTCTGGATGCACTTGCTGCATGACGATCATTGGGATGGCTTGGGGTGGGTTAGTCTCAACTGAGAGGAAACGCCTGCAACCCTTCGAGCTCATACTTCGAACACGACAGGTAATCTTTTTACCTGAGCTAGAACTGCATACCAGTCAGTATGTCACTTATCTAGCCTGGCCTTGGTTCAGATCAGGTATAATCTTCTTGCTCATTCCACTGGTACCTTGAAATGGTGACGTGGGCCCTTTGGCACGACCTTGAAAGTACATAAGGCTACAATTCTAGCGAATCACCACCCTGGGCAGCCACAATGTGGTTTGATTTGTCCCACGTATTGAATTTTCCGTGGATGTGAACATCTTCGGGTTTGGTGGGCGAAAGAGACCACCAGAACTCTCAGGTAGAAGTGAGAGAAGTCCCACATCCATGTGGGAACCGTCACAAACTCTAGCAAATGAGACGAGACTGTTTGACCTACATCAATCTGGTAAATGTGTGAAAATCTGTGATTTTTCGGATACCTGACAAAAGGATACAAAAGGATCATCCAACATAGTTCCACATGCCTTTTCCACGTTGAAAGAAAACACCACCGGCCAGTGCCCCTGGTCTTCATCTAGACTGTAAATAGAAACTTGTTTTTGAGGTTCACTGTCGAATCACCCTGCCTGGGGTAGGGCTGCAATCATGGGGCGTGTCGGCAGGTGTGACCTGCAAAGCTTCACCCAAGCTGGTTGAGATGAAATTCGTCCCAAACTCTCGGACTCCGAGCCTCTTTTTTTGACTTTTCCCTCGAACAAAATCCGTGCTTCAGAATCAGATTCTCAACACTATGATGCCAACCTAACATGTATTTTCCTGTAAAGAATGGAGTTCTCCTTCATTAAGAAAGGGCAGGGATTTCAGAGTCAAATGAGGTGTCCGTTCCATCCGCTGACCCGCTGATTCATCCAGGATAAGAAGCAGTGGTCCTTTGCTAAAAGTTATAATCGTAGAAGCAAAGCCGTGAAATGATTCTAAAATATATGCTGAAGTCACTGTGCGCTGATATGTCCTGGATGCAACGCATTTGAATGTCATTGACTCCTTCCTATTTTTCCTAGTCATGTTCTGAACACTGCGACTTGACCCTCCCTCTGAATCAATTCCCGACTGGGGCAAGGGACGGATCTCGAAGTGCCAACGAGAGCGCCTTACTTTTTCGAAGGCGAGAAAAAAGCCAGGCACACGTTGCGTGGTCAGCGGGTTGTGGCCACCACGTTCTGGGTTTGAGATTTGTGTTTATGCATTTCGTCAATGGAACATGAGGATGAACCTGTTACTTCGCATCTAACAGGATGATAGCTGCGATCACGCTATTTTTACTTCCTGTGCCCTTTGGAGCCGCTGCATCCACACTTGGCGATATACCTAGACCATCCAAAGGGTGTCCAATGGAGATCTCTAGGTAGTGTAGGGTAGTCTATTGGACACCCCTTGGATGGTCCTGGTACAATTCGGATTAATTTGGCCTTGTGACCTCAAAACCATTGCACCTTGCGCAGCTCCGCTGCAAGGTTAGACAGGATCGGGGGTATTGTATTCTTGTGCTCCTTTGCCAGGGCCAGTGCAACTTAACCCCTGAACAAACACCAAGTAAGGACAGTAAGGAAGTCGAAGTCGATAGACATACGTGCATGATTGTTCACATCCTTGGCATCGCTTCAAGCGGTGGCCATCAGTGACTGCATCAGGGGCTTTGGTGTACTTGCAAACAAACGACATGACACATCTATATATTATTTATATAGATTTAGATAGTATACGTCGTAGCCAAAATATGTCGAGAGGGAAACTGCTGAGAAACTCACATGCCCTAAAGCGCCGCAGTGACGTGCCATACAGCCCCAGAGAGGCTCCAGCGACAAGAGACCCTTCAGCACTGGATTCCTTGCGCCAACATCAAGCCAAAGCCCACAATGAACAAAGACGGACTTGGTTGCAACTGTCACCCTCCAGCATGGCTCCTTCGGCTTCTTTTGTCCGAGTCAACTCGATCTCTTGGCACTTCGGCTTTCGAGGTCGCACCAAGCCGTTTCATCCGACTGCAGCAATGCCGTGGCTTTGCGATGCTTTAGCCTGTGCCAAGGTTTGCATGAGGAAATTCCGCATGGGCAAACCCCCACCCCTATGGCCTGTCCGCCAATAACGTAAAGTTCCTGCTCACTAACACCCAGGACCGCAAACAAATGGAATGAGAACAGCAGTACAATGAAACAGATACTGACATACGGGTAAGAAGCAAACAAATCGACAACGAAACAAACAAAGAAGTCAAGAACATTTGCACAAAATGACGTAGGCGTGAAGCAGAATGACATCAAACAAAAAAAAAACACATTGCAAGTGGACTGGACCTGGACCTGGAGAGCTGATAGCTGGCAGCTGAGTTGGGGCTCCGAATGCGAGCATGGTGCCCAAATGCTCTTGTAAAGCATAATTCTCAGTGTTGTCAGGCGCCATCTCTGGAACGAACTTGTGAAAGTGGCGCAAGAAGGCCTGCTTTTCCAGACCTTTCCAACAATTTTCTGCGGCAATGATTGAATATTCCCCAACCTTGTTCGCTGAAGTCATTTCCCTCTCCAAACTCAACTTTGCCCTGTTTGTACCCCAGATCACTGATACGCAAAGCTTTGCACCAAGCGTATTGCTGACCAAACACATGCAAAAGCTCTGTTTCTTGCAGGTCTAGATGAGCTATTATGTCCTACATACGCACAGCAAAGGCGTCGAAGTCCCGGACACATGAAACACCAACAACATGTCGACTACGAGCACCTTGGAGGGACAATTCACCAAGCACAGAACTGATCACTGAATTGATCAGTCTCTCTAGTGGAATGATGGAATTGGATGGGCCTTTCTACCAATACCGGCAAAGCAAATAGGTACTGCTGAGAAACCACTGTTAAACAAACCATTAATGTGGGTTCTCGGATGGGATCGTGAACAGCCGGGTGGGTTTGAATGGTGGTCGTCCCAGAAAGCTTTGAGTTCTACGATTCTACATGTTGAATTCGCACAATTCCAAGTCCGATCTGAAGCTTCCAGACGTGCTTCGATCTCAATGACACAAGCATCTAGCCACCGTTGCTTAAACACTGAGTCCAGCTATACCTCTAAAGCTGCAAATTGCAACACACACTCAGGCACATCTCCTTCGCACACAAAACTGAGCACTTTCCAAGCTGGAACCGGTGAGAACATGTGAGAACCGAACCGCCTCACGCAGCCCCGACCGCACGGATCCGTGGCCGTGCCTGGCCACTCGGAAGCCCCCACAAGCTCGTGAGCTCGCAACACAGATCCTCGGTACTTCGCGTGTCTGGCGCAGAAGACGGCGCGTGGCTGAGCGGTTCGATCTCGGAAAAGGATTGAACATGTTCGGCCGAAGTTCAGAATTCACTGTAAGGGAAGAAGATGAAACAAAATACACACAACAAAAAGAAGGGGGAAGTCAGTGACTGAACGGCTGTGATTTTGATCTGAAGAAAAAAACATGTATATAATCGAAAAGTTACAGAGTCCAGAGAAGAAGGAGACAATACCAAAAACATCAAAAAACACTAACCACGTCAAGTTCTTGTTTATTCTTGTTTTCTATTGGTATTCCATCGGGTCCATCGCGGGACCGGCCTTGGCCACTTTTGAAAGATTGCCATCCTCCAACGACCTGCGACCGCGGACCGCTGCGATCGCCCTTTGCTAAGGATGCGCGTTGAGCAGCTATGGGCTATGATGGGCTATGGTTATATGATATCTTGTATGTGGATACTGTTGGAAGACAAGAGCACCACTTGAATCCCCTGTCTGGCACAGCTCGAATGCCTCTTTTGCATGGTCCTCTGCTGTTTCGGAGATTTTCTGGAGAAATGGACGGCAGGTCGGGTCCATCAAGAATTGACTTTTACCTGGAAAGCTGAAGCCCAAGTCGGGTTTCGGGGGCTTCCGGAGAGCCTGCATCTTTCGTGCTTAATGTTCATTTGCAAAAGGGGTTCATCTTCGGGAACAGGTGGCCTAAATGGCCAAACACGCGTAGGACGCCCTTGCTCAAGAATGGCTTTAAAGTGACCATTATTGATTCTAAAAGTCCATACCAATGTTTGGTTCTTGAGGGTCAAGTGTCCTGAGATGAAGAACATGTTCAGTTGGGAGTTAAGGTGGGGGGTTGTTTGTATCGATTTGTTTGGACAGTAGTGGCTGTTCTGTCATGAGTTCAAACTAACCCTTGACACCAGCAATCGAGTCCCAAAACAAACTAGCAGTAATAGTGCACATTTGCTCATACGTTCCTCCTCTGCTCTGCATACAATGTTACATGTTTCAGTGTAGAGAAATACAACTGTTCCGTCCTGCCATGAACACAGGTTCTCAAACTGATAGCATTCACCGCGGGGTCGGTGACTCAACAGCTGAGCTTACCATTTAGATCCATTTAGTCACAGGTGCAACCTGAACTTTGTTGTTAGAACGTTGTGGAAACTTTAACAGTATAGTCGTCAAGGCATGGTTTACTCCGTGTATGATGAGACCGTGGTCTTCTCAACATTCTGTTGCTGAGGACCACTTCCCACATGACGAAACGACGGCGCAACTCGCGGCCGAAACGCGGAGCCCTTCGCGGTCGGAAGCATTTGGGCGAAAGCGCCTCAGCAAGGCCTCCTGCACCAGATCCGCCTGGAAGGCATTGGGCGAAACGACGGCGGGACCGTCGCGCCGGGAAGCCCAGACACAAAAAAACTGAAGGAATGGCGAAGTGTGTTGAATAATCTGGGTTTTCATGCGGAATGGATTTGGCAAGCGGATGTTCCACTGTGAGTGGATGTTCCACTGTTGTAGCGAACCAATTGCATCATGAGGGTGTTTCGGATTGTTCAGAAGACTCTGCCGGGTCTATGATCCACCACACGAAGAAAATAGACAAAACACAAGAGTCCACAAACAACTTCACCATGAGTATATATATATATTCTGATATATACCATTAACGTTACCTTAGTGCCTTTGAATGATTCTGAATGCCAATGTGTTGTGCACCAAAGCTGCGATGTGAATCTCAAGCGAAAATGCTACACCCCCCGAGTCGCACATGTGCTGTCGCACATGCGCTGTTCTTGGGCTGATCGGTCAGAAGCTTTGTCAACCATGTCAACCCATTCATTTTGGGAGTTTGGGACCACCCGGTGGTTGGGACCGCCGTCACCGTGGTGGTTGGGCGAAACACTGAAGACACGGAAAAAAGGAACGCCCGTGGATCGGACGTGAAGCCGGGATCTCGGGAGTCTTCACCGGGTCCATCCTGTCGTGGTGAAAGAGATCCCTAAGAAGCTAGGGGCTCCTGGCATCGCTACTAGGGTAGCCAGGACACCCAAGCAGGATGCCACAGGGACCACTTGGACCACCGGGCGGTGAGATGTTTCTCTAGGAAGTCCTCGAGTCGATTGAGGGCCTCAGGCGCGATGCGGGGGAACACGGATCCCAAACTGATCTGTCTTTCTGTCTCCTACAAATGAGATGACAAAGGCCTGATAATGTTTTGGTTGGAAAAACAAGGAGTGTTGCAAAAAGACGGAAACTGGCATGCAAGGTCGGGTGACTGTAGTGGGAAAGTTATTTGTTTGTCACAACCTACCAACTGCTTTCAGGGCACATGCTGCTAAACATATGTATACTATATACAAATACATAATTATAGGTCCAGGTGTAGTAGGGATACTTCAGCCACTATACAAACACCATTCCTTTTGCGTAGTTCAGGGTACTTTACACAAGCACAAGGACCTCTGCAAAGAAAGCCCAAGAAAGATTTCATCTTCCTGTTTTCTGACGTCTGACTCGACTATCTGCTGTAATGTGTTCTTACTAATTCAGAGTCTCACTCCAACCAATTCAGAGTCTCTCTCCTTCAATCCCAGGTGCCAATCGTCCACGCAGCTCACCGGGCTGGGCTGGCTCATTCGCGCCCTCTTCCGCGACGGGCGAGAAGGCCGGCAGCTCACTCGGGTTCTCAGCTGCCTGGCTGGTGGCGGCAATTGAACAAAAGGAATAAGTTTGTTTCAATGTTGATGTGCAACAACAACAACAACAACAACAACAACAACACCAACACCAACACCAACAGCAGCAGCAGCAGCAGCAGCAGCAACAGCAACAGCAACAGCAACAGCAACAGCAGCATCACCATGTTCTTCTCCGTTCATAATATTATTCTTCATGACCACAAAGAAACTATATTATATAATATATAGTCTCAGGTAAAAGTTGTGCACAAGCATGCGCTGGCTTAGGGCTTAGGATAACTTTCAAGAGTCCTGCGAGAATGGGCTCTATGGTTGTTGGGCGGGACTGGTTTTGGATGGTTTGGGGAAGCTTGCAGGGTCTTGCATGGACTTCCCCAAGATCAAACATCATCAATCAACCGGGCTCATTGGGGTCGGATGCTGGTGTTTCTCGGAGCAATTGAACCCAAATGCCCAAGTGTCAAGAAACATGGCAATCTAATTGGGTTCCCAAGTTGCATCAGCCGCAACCACCTGAATTGCAAATCAAAAAGTACCCCATGGCCAATACATTAGGGGCGTCATGATTGTCATGGCCTCCGTTGTAGAGTGAGGGCAAATCCCGTACAACTTTGCCTTTTTCGAGGGATAGGCGGCCGGTACAAACGTTGGAAACTCTGTATGAGCAAAGTCATGTTCTTTCGACCATCATTTCGAGCCATCTAAGACAGTCACATTCCCAAGTGCCAGTGTACCAGTGGCTACAAGGACCTTGACTCAACCATTCATGTTCACCGTAGGCCTCCACCTCGCCATCGATGCAAACAGCTGCGGCCGCCACAGCTGATGACGAGGCATTCAAGGCTGAGGTGACCTGAGTGGGGTCAGAGATGGGAACTATTGTGTATGTATATAACACGTCTTAGTGAGATTATTCTCACATCCTTAAGTCCAGTCAGGGGGTTGACAGACTGCTGCTGCAACCTGGAAGCTAAAGTGTCTTTCACTTATCAATGCTCACAGCAAAATGGGAACAATGTTGACTGCTACGAAGATCGAAAGAAACGGATGCGGGCCCGTGTTGACTCCAACAATAACCTTAAGCAGTACTAACATGTACCAACCACCACAAGCCGACTGAGTTGTTCTTCAGCCTATGATCGACATTCAAAGCATTTTTGCACCTAGAACTGGCCTGACTTGGGTGGCAAGGGACGCTGTTGCTGGGAAAGTCTTGTTGGACCCGAACTTCTTGTTTGCCTCTTCTCCAGAGCCTTAGAAAGGAAGATCCCAGAGCCCACAGCGGTGAGCGGGTCACAACGGCATGTCTTCACTTCCAAGTGGCGCAGCTTGACAAAGAGCCTCCTGAAAAGGCAGCTGCCTGCTGAGGCCAAAAAAGTCCGGAGATGGATCCAAATCTGTTGGGTCGAGCACCGAAGCGACTTTGCTCACTAAACCATTTTTCTTCGAGGAACAGAAAAGCAAAATGCAGTGCATGTTAGTGAGCGAATTGCAAAACAATCTCTGCCCTCCTGCTGGCGAGTCAATACCCCATTCTTTCATATTCTTTCTATGCCCTTTCTATTCTTTCTGTAACTGTCTGACCTTCCAAAAGCCGATCCTCCGAAATGGAGCCCTGGTATCTTTCCCCGTGCCTCACCGGCTGCAAAGAGACCTGCAATCGGCTGATCCTGAACAGATCTGCGAAGGTCAAACAGGGAACGAAAGGTTGGGAGAAAGGCAACGAGGTTGCCATGGTCCAGCACCACGGATTCCAGGTGTCCATTATATATTAGCCCCAAAAAGAGGTCAAGGGGTGTCCATGAACCACCCTGACTGGGGGTCCAGGGTCTGAACACACTCTTGGGCCTTTGGTGTCACGTGGGTGTCGTCCATCTTGCGACCAAGGAACTTCATGAGAAAGGACAGCTCCCGTGTCTCCTGTCGAGGCAAGGATGGGGACATGAGTTGAAAGAGTGCATTAAGAAAAAACACGTGGAAGGGAACAGGGCCATGAACACCCACCAACCCATTGACGGTCTGCAGTCTTGAGTCGAGATAGTCGAGCTAACACCCCAGTCCTTCGATGGCCAAACCGCCTTCGCAACACAGCAGGGCCGGCCTCAGGTGAAGTCGTTTTCGGTGAAGGGTCAGTTCTTGAGAAGACTCTGAGTTCCTTCTAGCTGGGTCACAATAGCTGGGAATCCGTCGCACTATTCCATGCAATTGCTGGAAGCTTCCCCCCCAATTGGAAACCAACCGTGACATCATAGGTCACACGGTCACACACGTCCCAACAGAAAACAATCAAAACATACGCTGAATGACTTGGAGAATCGCCAGCATTGGTCAAGCGCGTGTGGATGTTTGTAACTTCTAGCATCTTCTAGCCACCTGCAAACACCACAAGGCACACAAACAATGTGTGCCGTGCAAAAAGATCTGTTTCTCGATCAATCCGAAGAAGAAGCAGGAACCTGCAACTTCAAAGCAAAAAACCCATGGTTCACTCCTATAAGTGAAGAGCTGAATGGCCTAGTTCACCTCGATCTTGCAAAACAGATCCTTCCTTCCTTCCTCAGTCTCCGCACGTCACCTCTGCCGCCCAAAGGAAGAGATCCTGCGTCGCTGTACGAGCGCCCACCGACGCAGACAGTTTCATCGGTAGCACCCGGGAATCATGGTACACACACCTCCGGGCCACAAGGGTTCAAGCCAAGGGCCACAAGGGTTCAAGCACAAGGGCCACAAGGGTTCAAGCACAAGGGCCACAAGGGTTCAAGCAATCCCAAACGAACTTAGTAAACTCTCAAGATTGCCCACTTTGCTGAGAGATGTTGGGAAACATCTAAGTCCGACAAGGCCGACGTTACTAAGTAAGTCTCACTGAAAGAGTGTCCCAACAGCGTCTTAACACCCTTTCAGAAGCCTCATCATGTCATACCTACGCCGTACGCCTCATTTTAGGCGGCAGTGAAGCCAGCTCTTCACACTCAGAAAGTGGGCCGGCTGTGAATAGCCGGCCTGCATGGTTCTGAGAGATACTTTGATCATGTTTAATCAGGTTTTCTCTTGTGGGTCTGTAGTCAACAGGCAATGTTTAAACAAATAGAGTCGAGTTGAAAGCATTATTGCGATTCTTGTAGTGGAAATCCATGGCACATCCCGAAATCTCGCCGCCGCCTCGTCCGGGAAGCTCAAGAAAATCGCACCTGCCGGGGGTGATGGTCACGGACGTGAGCAGCGGCCAAACGTATTTGTTGGACTGTGTCATAAGGATTTGCTTATGCAGGCACTTATGCTTAGGCCTAGGCGCCTAGGAGGATTTAGCTTAGGGCTTAGCCAAGGTTACCGGGGCTTACCCAGTGGCACGACCCAACGTTTGGCTTGGCAGCCTTCTGACACAATCATTTCATCTCATGACTGCAAAAGTATTGGCCCTTGCTCCAGTGCAAGGCCTGTGCCGCTTCAAGAGGATCAGTAACTACCTGAAAGCTTTGCTCAGTTTGCCTTTGTTGAGGTTCATCCAGACCCTATGTCTAAGTAGTTTGAAATCCATCTAGCTTCATCGCCGCCCCAGAAGAAACTTCAGTAGGTTGCTCCATCTCCCATCTCCCCAAGAATGGAGTCCTCACCAGCGCTGACCAGTTTTCAGCTGAAGTCCGCCGAAATGCGTAAAGGGTTTGCTCAAACTGAAGACAGCAGCTGACAGTTAGCTCGATCTCGCTGTCAAACTCGTATTTTCTCTACAGACGGAATCCAAACATATCCAAACCATATCCAACGGAATCCATCCAGAACCGTCGTATCCATCTCTATTCACCGCTTTTTTGCTCGTTTTCCACCACACCCCCCTGAAGGTTATCGTTTTCCACCATCCATCCACCACCATGTTGACTGGACGTTTTCCGCCTTCGCTGCACCGTCTCTTCAGTGCCTCGGCACCGAGGGCCAAAACACCGAGTGGCTTGGAGGGGAGCAATCCAAGGGCTCTCACAAACCGCTGGCGATTTTTCGGAGGGCTCATGATGATACTTGGAGAACATCATGCATCACACGTTGAATCTGGTTGTTGAATGTTGATATATTGAATCCCCTGATCTGCAAGAGTAGCGTCTTCAACAAAGGGGTAGTCACACTTAGTCATTGCGGCTACGTGCGCAGCAAAGCTTTAGGTGAACATCCCTTTTCCGAGTTGTGAGACAGCTTTAGCCAAAAAAGTGCATAGAACTAGAATATCCTAGAATCAAAATCAAAACTCCAAGGAGGATGCCTTTCAAGGTTTCTATTGTTCAGGCTTAATTACACTAGTCACTAGACCTCATCTCAGACTCTCCTTTCCCCGGAACTCTCAACCAGGTCGATAGGAGCTCCTGGATTCAACAAATGAAACGAACTGAGTTGGATGGCTTCTTGATGCTTCTTGTTACTAGTAGTAAGAATGCTCCTAGTAGCGATGCCAGGAGCCCCTAGTAGCGAACATTGTTCCTAGTTGGATGTACCTGATGTGATGGATCTGGTGACTTGGGTCACTCCCGCTGTGCCTGACAAAGCCATCCTTGGGACACCTGGCAAGGGCCAGTAGGGCGCCTGGGTGGGGTCTGAGATTTGCTTGCACAGCACTCTGCTTGCATGGCGGAGTCTCTCATGTTTTCCTGGATATCTTGGTGTTGTCCAGGAAGAAACGACCCAGTGAAGAACTAACTACCAGTTGCCGCCTCCCATCCGAATCCCAAAATGAGGACGCTTACGTTGACTGCATGGAATCCTTCTCAAACGCACGCACAAACTTGTCAATCTCCCCAGGTTGAAACTAACACAACCTGCGACTGGCGGGTGTTTCTGGCAAAAACCAATCGATCGATAAGCATCTGCCGTGATTGCTTGCAAATTCTTCAGAGCAAACACATCATATCATGAAAAATATAACATAGTATATTCATAGTTGTTGTTTTTTTAAATACATGTTAACCAAGTACGAGTACCTCGGTCAACTGAAGCTCCAAACAGGGCCCCAACGACCCCCCCCCTCCTCACCCGTTCCCTCCCCAGCCAGGCCTTCATCTCTTCAGCCAAATCCTTCAGGCTGAGCCGCCGTAAGCTTCCCCGTGGCGCCGCAGGATGGAAGTCCCAAAGGATCAGCCAACAGGGACCTCCGCCGCGTCCGCCCACGCACGTTCCGACGGCCCGGACAGACACGATGCCCGGACAGACAGCTGGTGTGTTCCTCCCGAAAAGCACCACGGCCATGCAAGGTTTTAGGGGTTCGAGAGGGGTTGGGGAGTGGAGGGACTCCGTGGCTTGAGGATGAAGAGCTGAAGAATGGGAGAGGTGAATATGCGGCTTCAAAAAGGCCCTGCGACCACATCAGCCTCCAGCGGGACGCCATTGCCACGTTGTGCTTGGACCCTTGAGTTGGTTGTATGTCTCGCTGCGATCCTCCTTTCGTCCGGAGTGTTTGCGTTCGGTACATTCGAAGCTGCATGTTCCTTTGGCTCCTTAGCAGCCGTGGCAGAACTCCTGCGTCAAGACACCGACACATCCAGAGGATTGCTTTTTGCAACCGTTTTTTGTGGTGGGACGGCGTAGTTGATCCACCGGCTCATTCAACTGCCAGCAGCTGTGAATCGACAGTGGATCGAGCCTTGTTTCACCTTTCACAGCTTCTATAATCCGTTGCATGCTTTCAATTACAGCATGGGCCTCCCACCATGGACACCTGTTTCACTCGCTAATAGCGATGGCCTTCGTTGATAGACCGAACCTTTAAATGACAACTATGGGTGTGCGTCAAAACCCCGGGTCTCAGGTGAACATCGCGCACCTTCCTGTTCCATAGGGTATGGCACGGATCCCTTGTTCCACAAGGTATGGAACAGGTATGGAACGGGGGTATGGAACAAATAGTACCAAAGAACCTGACGTGTCATCTCAGTCGCGTTTCTCACGGTAAGCAAGCAAAGCGCACGTTTTTGATTGAATCTCGAACAATTGTAAACCAGGAATCCATAGGTATGGAACGATGGGTATGGAACGGCGAACAAACATGCTGTTCCACAGGTATGGAACGGGGTATGGAACGAGATGTTCAAGAGTACATGTTCCATACCAAAACGTTTTGACTCATGGCCATATAGCTACTAACTAGGTAGGGCATGTGTTCCAGGTGGGGGAGTGTGTGATGTGTCCGGTCATGTCAAATGAACCAGTGTAGGTTGTTTACACATGCCACTTAGAGCTATTATTGTACAACCACAAGAAGGGAGGCGTCGAATGAAAACAATAGAAGTTGTGCTAGTAGCAGTAGTAGCAGTAGCAGTTCAGTAGCAGTAGCAGCAGCAGCAGCAGCAGTAGCAGTAGCAGCAGGAGGAGGAGGAGCAGGAGCAGCAGCGGCGGCGGCGGCAGCAGTACTTGTTGTTGGAATTGTTCATTGATGTTGCTGCTGTTGTTGTGCAGAAAAAGGAACAGCACAAAACAGAAGGTGCAGAAAACAGGCAACCTTAGACTTTGGGCAAAGAGTATTCGTGTGTCAAAGTCGAAATCATCAGTCTGGACATGCTATAGTGACGCATGGTGACGCCACTGCCAAGACTGCGCCGGCAAATGGCACAAGCTCCAACACCCGCCATTGCGTTGGTCAATACAACTGACTGGGTCATGTGGACTGTTGATGAATAAAACAACAATCGTGGTAGGTGGGGTTTACCGATAAACAGTCTACATGACTTACGAGTTCACATGGACAATGCCAGTGAAACTGGTGGGAAGTCCCGTTCTCGGTGTGCCTTTACGCAGAATATGTCTGGCAATCTCCTCTTCAGAGCGATCAGCCAGGGGCACCTAGTGACAAGATGAAACCGTTTGCACTGCACGGCATCGAACGGCGTTTGGTTGATTGCCCGATCAACCTCTTTGGGTATACGCCATGGCTAGCAGTTTGGCGAAATGGATTTGACATTTGTCTAATCAATAACACGATGCAAAAAAAGTTTGCTGGGGTCAAAACTGTGATTGAATATGGAATAGGAGGGGAGGACGATCAAAGCCTTCATGTCATGCATGTGGTTCACTTAGGGCAACCCAATCACAGTCATGGAGAACTCTAGGCATTTACCAATCAGTCTGACGGGGGTCAAACACCGAAACCTCGACGGTCAAACACACCATTCGATGGGTGTTTCATTTTGTTTTCCTCAAGGCCAGGCCAATCCGGCGACAAACAACCCAAACGACCAGGCAAGTCCCGGCTGCTTGCTCTTGGTAGCGGTGCCCATTGTTCCTAGTAACTTCTTGCTCCTAGTAAAAAGGCCAGGAGCTACTAGTAGCTTCTTGCTCCTAGTCGAAAGGCCAGGAGCTACTAGTAGCTTCTTGCTCCTAGTAGAAAGGCCAGGAGCTACTAGTAGCTTG